GCAACAGGCGCCAAGCGCTCGTTCACCTCGATGGCGGCATCCAATCAGCCTGCTAATATGCGTGATGCATCTTCTTCAAACCGGCCATTGGACTCGATAAAGCCAGCCCGAAATTTTACAAGCTATGTCGACTATGATTTTAGCAAGATGACCGACACGAAGGGTGGATTCTTGACACAGGAGGATGACCCGTTCAATAAACAACTACACGTGCCGGATGGGAAAGAAGTACAAAAACCACCACATATGACGCAGAAGGAATGGGAACGCCATCAGCTGCTCCAATCATTAAAGCGAAACCGGGAGGGACCCTTTGAACCAGGTCTAAGTGTCCTAGATGATAAAAGCAAACAGAAGTCATGCCGTGAGTGTGGCAGTTTGGAAATTGATTGGAAATGGGAAGAAGAACTTAAGTGTTGCATCTGTCATGCTTGCAAGGAGAAGCACCCAGAGAAATACAGTTTGTTGACCAAGACGGAAGCCAAAGAAGATTATCTCTTGACAGATCGTGAGTACCAAATTGTCGCCTATGACAAGAGAGACGTGCTGATCAGCCTACGTATAGCTGAACTCCGAGACGAAGAGCTCCTTCCACGCCTCGAGCGTCCGAATCCACACAAATCTACATGGAACAGCATGATGCTGTATCTACGGTACCAGATCGAAGAATATGCGTTTTCCGACAAGAAATGGGGCTCATCGGAGGCGCTGGATGCCGAGTTTGAACGGCGAGAAAGTGATAAGAAACGGCGACGGGAGGCCAAATTCAAAACGAAGTTGCAGGACCTGAAGAAACGCACACGTGTGGAGGCCTACCGACGCAATCGACAAGGTGCTTCAGGTGGAGAGTTTGGCGACGATCTCGGTTCTGGGCGGAAACATATTCATCAATGGGGACGATCCATTGAGAATCCAGAAACAGGAATTGGCATCAAGACGTGTGTAGAATGTGGGATGGAGGTGGAAGAGCTCGAGTTCTAGACGACCATAATGTAGGATAGCATGATTAATTATTGTACGAGACCACGAGCAAATGTAGTATTTGAACCTGTTAAATATTAGTCTCCGCTGTTGAAGGGTTTATTAGAATGAATCTTCGTGAGACTTATTGAATTAGAGTTATTCTATTATTCTCGTGTTGTTGGTGTACATATTTACGCGCAACTAACTACATATCCATGAATGTAGTTAGTTATCTGCAGAACTCGGCTTACGATTGTTCCTACGAAACCTATTGAATTTACTATTATATTTGAATTCCTTTTATATGTATTCAAAACCCCCCCAAACCATCCAATTGCTTACCCAACTATCATATACCTCCAGGACTCCAGGGCTCCAGGGCTAGTAACGTGCGCCAATCTTCTCCATTTAGAAGGCGGTCAGACACCCCCGAGGCCAAGCCGTCTTCACCATAACAAAAGGTCAGTGAAGGCACACCTCTCATCCTCATAACTTTCCTTTCATTGTCCGACCTTGCTCCTCTCCTTTGGATCTTCCTCCTTAGGACTCCTCATCCACAGGCTGACTCGGCGTGGAAGTGGTTTCTTGCCGTCGCCATTAGGGGACTTGGTTCGCTTACCGCGGATACGATTTACCGGGGTCAGGAGAAACCGAAGCTCGCACCTTACACGTCACTTGATTCACTACCGGCCTGATTTTGTCCTTGGTACCTCCTGCAGTGCTTTGACCCTTCAGATCTTCGACCCGTCCTGTGTTTGTTCATCTGTTCATGTCTTGGCAATCTCCATCAGCCATGGCTGGAATCGGAGGAATGCCTGGCGCCATGGATGGTTCGAATGGCCCACAGGGGACGGAATACACATTACAGGGTGAGCATGAATCCACCTGCTTCCTTGAATACCATTGACTGATATCCATGTCCAGGTGTAATGCGCTTCCTACAGACAGAATGGCACCGACACGAGCGCGACCGCAATGCATGGGAGATTGAACGGGCAGAGATGAAGTCTCGCATTGGTCGATTGGAAGGTGATTTGCGCACAAGCAAGCGCTTGCATGAGTCCCTTGGGAAGCATGTTCGCTTGATGGAGACCGCCCTAAAAAGAGAGAGAGAGAAGGTTAAGAAGCTTTCGAACAACGAAAAGGCTGAAGACTCTAAGGACTCTAAAGATGCTGCACGTGAGAGCGTCAGCTTCTTGAAAGGTATGTGCCTCGCAATTATATGCCAGCACGCGACGTGGGAATATTGACTGAGTTATTCAACAGCGCATCGCCCCAAGCCGAGCACGGACCATGAGAATGACGAAGCACCCGACAACGAAAACCAGCATGAGGGTCAAAGTGAGGACATAGACAAAGTCCGAGGATACCTGTCCAAAGCTTCCAACGAAATCGCGTACCATGTTATACCCGCCTCCCACCCTCCACCCGACATGAACGACTCCGACATGTCAGGCCATCTTTATGGCAATTCACAGCTGTCGCAACAGAACCTGGAGGAGGCTTATCTTCAGCAGCAACGTCAAAAAGCGAATCACATCATGGCACGTGAGATGGCCTTGCAAAACCACCAACCGATGTCAAATCACTACCCTGACAATGCCATGGCTCGTGGTCAAAACCAGTATCTTTCTCGGGATGCTATGGATCGACGGTCAATGGACCCGCATCAAGCCTCCGTTGCAGCAATTGAAAATCGAACCCAAGTATACGAACAGGGCACGGTGGACGAACGCCAAAACCAGGCATACGAGGCCCAGGGCCCTCGAGTGGTCGTCAAGGAGGATGTGAATCTGAAAAACTTGACCGAGAAAAGAACAGAGGATGTGGATGGGTGGAATTTTGACGAACCGGCGGAGCAAGAACTCGTGGTCACCGAACCCATCCCGCCTCATCGCCCGGATACAGATGCTTTTCCAAATGCCAACTTTATGAGCTCTGAGCCGAGCAAGGACGGGGCTCCCCCCCATCGAAGGACGAATTCGGGATCAATGCGCAAGAGCGATGGTGCAACTGATGCCCGGGAAGCGGGTGCGATGTTCGGACAAAAGCAAGATTCTATCTTCCAAGTCCGGTTTGTGCTGCGTGGCCACTTAGATGTGATCCGATCCGTCATCTTCACCGGTGGTGGTAGTCCAGAAGAGCCCGAGATCTGCACTTGCAGCGACGATGGAACGATCAAGCGATGGATCATCCCAGGTACTTCTGGTGGCTCTGGGGCTGGTTCTAGCCACGACTCGGACATTACGAGCTACTTTACTCATCGCGGACACGAAGGCGCCGTGACTTCTCTTGCCGCCTGCTCACCGTCTCAGAATATTTCCAATGGCGGCCGTGTTTTGGGTGATGGGCTGGTGTTTTCAGGTGGCCAGGATGCTAGCGTACGTTTATGGGAACGTGGGCGGATTGATCCCAAGGCCACCTTCAACGAGCACAAAGACGCAGTCTGGGGACTCTGCGTTCTTCCCGGCACCATGGGTTCTGTCTTTGGCGACTCAAGCAGCCAATATGGTGGATCCGATCGTATCCTTCTGGCCTCTGGAGCAGCAGATGGCTACGTCTTGATTTGGGCAATCAGCGCCGCATCCCCTCCTGGAAATCGCCGTCAAGGTAGAAGCCAGCGGGCGAACTCAAACTCAATGCCCTCCGGTTCCAACTTCCCAACCTTGCCTCCACCCAGTGCCCCTACCACTCCAGCTTTCAATTATACCATTGTTCATCGCATCCCCCGCCCCAATTCCCCTTCCCCAACATGCATCAGCCCCTTGTCTCTTGCAGGCGTCAACTTTGTCGTCTCCTACTCGGATGCCTCTATCATTGTTTACGACACGCGGACCGGCGAAGAAATTGCGGGTATGGCTAGTCTCGAGACATACGATGGCACGCCAGCTACTGGGGTGAACTCAGTCGTTGCCACGACAGTCGGCTTTGATGGAACAGTTAATCTTGATCCCAACCGCGCGATGGCTGAAGAAGAAGAAGTAGTCCACGGAGCCACTGGGTCAAGCAACGTAGAAGGTGTAATAATCAGTGGTTATGAGGACCGATACATCCGCTTCTTTGATGCCAATAGTGGTAAGTAGCATCTAAATGACCTTGCTATCCCGAACAATACCCTAACATTTGATACAGGTCAATGTACATACACAATGCTTGCTCATCCTGCTGCGATAGCCTCACTGTCATTATCTCCGGATGGACGTGAGCTCGTTTCGGCTGGCCATGATGCCAGCTTGCGATTCTGGAACCTTGAGAAGCGCAGCTGTACCCAGGAGTTGACAGGCCACCGGCTGATGCGTGGCGAAGGAGTCTGTGCTGTAGTATGGAGCCGTGATGGCCACTGGGTCGTTGGCGGTGGTGGAGACGGCCTGGTCAAGGTCTGCTCCCGATGATTGAAACGACGGAATGAAAACCCGTGTATGATTCTTCTTGCGTTATACCTGTGTGTGTATCTCTTCGCGTTTGCTCATCGTTTTCTGTATGATCCCATGAACTGGATGAGCGATTGGCCGGACCAGTTTTCTTTCGAGCATTTGCAACGGTGTTCACCGACGCTGTGTGGTTTATGATACTCTTCTACGTGATTTTGCCTTTCTTTTCATTTCTTTTCTCAACATGTGTACTTTTTACTTGGCTCATAACATGTTCCACAAAGATTCCCTGGCGTGCGAGGATGTTTTCTTTTCTTCCAACTGTTTCGGTACATGCTCTACTTTCTATGGGAACTAGAACATTTCTTCCAAGGCTGTTCGAATACTGTTCCGTTTGCTCTTGTGATAGGATCTTGATCAGGGTTCAAAGAGTGCCTGATAGGCTTTGGAATGATCCCGATATTTGACGTATCGGTTGCTTGGTGTCCACAGGTGGGAATTTTCCCCTGTTCTCCTTCAATGTGCCCGCGTAGCTTGTGCCTTAGACACTGATGGCTCATGTTATGTGTATAACATTTGAATCCATACTATTCGCCGAGCCAACTCGGGCTTGTTCGGAACAAAGACAGGTATCATTGTTTCGCTGTGCTGTCGTGTGAATATAGTCTACTTGGCTGAGCTCCACGCTTCTTTGAACACCAATCTCAACCGTTTTGCTTCTTCTTCGTCCTTCAATCGCTGCTGGAGATAGCCTTGCAGGTCATCCCAGAAAGCCTCTGTATGCAACACCTCCTCCCCACTCGGACCTATAGCAGCCTTGGGCGGTGATTCATCCCGCTTCTCTGGAATCTCCGGTTGAGCCACAGCAGATTCAACCACCTGGGCGCCACCAATAATCATCACCCCGATCTCGACTTCTTTGCCTCCCGCCATAATCGCGGGTTCATCTGCCAATACCTCGGCCAATGTCTTCCCGCTCCCAGTAACTGGCTTGCGCTTGTATAAGATCTTGATCTTGTCTAGCGGAACTTGGCCTCCGTGCACATCGGTGACGCGCACTTGCACAGCATCCCGGATGTCCTGGACCGAGGTGGTCGAGAGAGGGGCATTGGAGATCAGGAATTCCAGAGCAGGGTTGCGGGCAGACTTGACGCGGACAGTGATTGATTTGGATGAGCCTGGTGCCTGTGTTGATTTCACTTTCTTGGGCATCGCAGGATGCGGGGCTGAAAGGCGGGGGAGGGTGTACTATCGTTTCTCGGAGAGCATGTGAGAATGGTCTTCCTGGTCAAGCTAGGAATTTTCGCATCAAGACTTACGGGAACTCGTAGTCCAACTTGCTCTGGGTCGAAGACATGATCAGCGCGAAGCTTGATAGGCCGTGAGTCCAGCGTGGACAGGAATGATTTGGTAAAAGTCAGTTCCGACATGGTAAGAAATTTAAATTGGCAGAGATTCTCAAGGCAAAAAAAAGGAGAAAGAGAGAGAAAGCAAGTCCAAGGCGATAGTAGTTAGAGTAGTGGACGTCTGGACCGGGGAGTTCACTTGATGCCGATAGGACCATCGACACCTGGACTATAAGGCATCAAAGTAAATAAGTAGTTACACCGCCTTTCATTACTTCCGTACTGCTGGCAGTCACCGCCCTAAGGGAAAAAAAAAAAGACGGAAAGAAATTACAAGCTCCCCCAGAGAGCAAATACCATTAACGTCCCCATATACACCACTTTCTCACAATGGGTGTCGGTCGACGTATGAAGAAGCAGGGCCCTCCGGCCCCGCTCGACGAGTCGAAAATCACAATGCTCAAGAAACGCAAGGCTGGCGGGGCTGAGGCACCTCCGAAGCCTGCACCAGCAAAACGTCGCAGATCTGATGCGGATGAGGCTGTCTCGAAAAAGGATGCACCCAAGAAGAAGAAGGTCAATGGTGCTGCTCCCAAGGCCGATTCCAAGGAACCTAAGAAGCAGCCGTCGGTCACGAAGAAGGCCGTGCCGGTGCCTATGTCTGATGATGATGAGGATATGGAGGATGATGATGATGAGTTCGGTGATCTCGATGGGATTAGTGAAGGCTCAATGGATAGCGACGACGAGGTTGAAGGACTTTCGGACCTAGAGGATGATAACTCGGTTGTCGATTCTGACGAGGAGGGCCACACCCGTGGAGCCATGTTCTCTGACGACGAGGACTCTGATGCCGAAGAGAGATTGACCGCCGCAAACATTGAGGGTCTGTCGCGGAAGTTGGATGCTGAACAGCAAGAGGAGGAGGAAGCCGCCGAGCAGGAAATGCAGGAAGCCGCCCTGCAGACCAACATCGCTGCACCCGATGTGTTCGCCGACCAAACCCAGCAGGGACTCGCCCCTGATCTGCAGCTGCTTCGCCAACGCATCACAGACACCATCCGAATCCTGGGTGACCTGAAGACCCTCGGCTTGCCTGGTAAGTCGCGTACCGACTATATCGATCTCCTGCTCGACGATATCTGTACATACTACGGCTACACTCGATTCCTGGCTGAGAAGCTATTCAACCTGTTCACTCCCAGAGAGGCATTTGCCTTCTTTGAAGCTAACGAAACTCCTCGCCCTGTCGTTATCCGTACCAACACCTTGCGAACCAACCGCCGATCACTCGCCCAGGCGCTCATCAACCGTGGTGTTGTCCTCGAGCCCGTTGGCAAATGGTCCAAGGTTGGCCTCCAAGTTTTCGAGTCTCCGGTTCCCCTGGGTGCCACCCCCGAGTACCTCGCTGGTCACTATATTCTCCAGGCTGCCTCTTCTTTCCTTCCTGTCATGGCTCTCGCTCCGCAGCCTAATGAGCGTGTCCTTGATATGGCCTCTGCCCCCGGTGGTAAGACAACATACATGTCCGCTCTGATGCGCAACACTGGCTGTGTCGTCGCAAACGATGCCAGCAAGCCCCGTGCTAAGGGTTTGATTGGTAACATTCACCGTCTTGGCTGCAAGAACACCATTGTGACGAACATGGATGCCCGCACTGCTTTCCCCAAGGCCATGGGTGGCTTCGATCGTGTTTTGCTCGATGCTCCCTGCACCGGTACCGGTGTTATCTCGAAGGATCCCGGAGTCAAGACCTCCAAGAACGAGCGTGATTTCCTCGCCATTCCCCACATGCAGCGCCAGCTTCTTTTGGCCGCAATTGATTCCGTCGACCACGCCTCCAAGACCGGTGGATACATTGTCTACTCTACTTGCAGTGTGACGGTCGAAGAGAACGAGGCTGTTGTGCAGTACGTTCTTCGCAAGCGCCCTAATGTCAAGATTGTGGACACCGGTCTCGGTAGCTTCGGTAGCCCTGGACTCCTTAGCTATATGGGCAAGACTTTCGATCCTAAGATGGCGCTCACCCGCCGTTACTTCCCTCATCGCGAGAACGTTGACGGTTTCTATGTCTGCAAGCTCAAGAAGACTGCCGTGACCCCCGTGGCCAAGTCAGACGACGCCGAGCCGCGTTCCAAGGGCCCCAAGAAGGCTCGCAGTGCTCCCTCGGCTGCCTCCACGGACGACGAGTCCGTAGACAAGACCCCGATTGTTGATGAGAATGGACACGCCGCTGATTTCGAGGGTGGTGCCTTCAGCTCATTCGAGGATCCCGAGGACGCCGAGCGCATTGCTCGCGCTGAGCGCAACCGTTTGCGTCGCAAGGGTCTCAACCCTAAGGGTGTTCTGAACAAGCCCAAGAAGAGCAAGGTATCGGTGTCAGAGAAGACAAGCGAAACGGCGACACCAAGCCAGAAAGAAGAGACCGAGGCCGTTGCCTCGAAGAGGACTTCCAATGAGCCAAAGAGCGAGAAGAAGACCGTTGTTAAGGGAGATAAGAAGCAGGTGACCACGGAAAAGGAAGAGAAGAAGACTGCGGCCAAGGGCAAGGTCGAGAAGAAGGAAAAGAAGTCGGCCAAGAAGGCCAGCAAATGATCAATAACTTGATCATTCGTCTCTTGCTGTATAATTCTTCGTTTTTCATTCTTCGGGCAAGTCAAAAGCATTATGTATTAGGTCCGGGACCCGGCGCACTGGATATACCTTTTGTTCAATCAAGATCAAACTGTGTTTCAAAAAAATATGGAAGATGGGAAAAAAGAGTAAAAAGAGTCTTAAGAAGTTCAATGTAAATTGCTAAACCAAAGATATTCAAATCATCAAAGTCCAACATGTCAAGCATGCAGGGTATAAGAACTGTTGTGTATCCACCAGTGGTGGTATGTGTATATAACCAAAATGAGGAGGATATAAAATCAATCGCATCACTCCCATCCTAAATCAACCGTTCGCTAAAATCAATGAACGCAAGTGCTCAGAAATTCAAAAAAAAGTCGGGAACATCCCGTCTAACTCCAGCAGAGATACCAGATACCGCTCTATGCTCGATAAATCTTGATCACCTTCTTAACCTCTTTGCGGCACATCGGACACAGGCTCACAAGGTTCGCGCAAGTCACGCAGGAACAAAGGTGCCCACATTCGACGAAGACAGCATCCATTTCCTCGGTGTAACAGATTTGGCACAGATCCAACTCTGCGTCGGCTACTTCCCAGTAGCTGATGCCCTTCCCGTGGCGTTTGCCATCCTTGAAGCCGCCGACATATTTATTGCCTGTCGTCTTCTCAACGTAAGTACCTTGTCCATGGCATACGTCTTCAACCCAACCACCGTTGTATGAGTCGCCGGTGGGGTAAATTAGCTTGCCTTGGCCATGGCGGCGGCCAAAAACGAAATCGCCTTCGTATATCATGCCTGTGCTAGAGATATGCTTGCCTCTACCATGGTGATGACCCTTGAGGAATTGACCACTGTAGTAGTCGGTTGTGAAGGTCGCTTCGATGGTCTTCACGCCGGTGAAACCTTGGATTGGATGACCACGAGATTCGGCCCACAGGTACTGAACCAGACGATCGGGACTGGTGAACAATCCCGATAAAGCAAGTTGAGTACGCCTGATTTTGTGTTAGAACCAAAGGGCTAACCTCGAAAACGGAGATATATGTGTACTTACTTGTCCTTGGTCAACTTATCCCCGACAATGAAACAGGCTCCGTGCGGAGCCACCACATCGTCGAAGCTGTCAGCTGGCGACACTGTGGTAACGGCAGCACCATCGACTCGTTTCCACACGAGGAAGTCTTGGCGAAGAGGCCGCTGTAACTGGCGTCTGATGGACGCTTTGACGTTGGAATCAAGCTTGGAGAAGAATGACCCCACGGTACGAAGTATTTGATTGTCCGCATCGAACATTTGAATGAAGTAGTATGTATGGCCGACAGGTAACTTGACCTCAGGTTGGGTCTGTGCTTGAGGCGCCACTTCTGACATAGAAGACTCAACTTCGGAAGGTGATACAGGAGCGGAGCTTGTGGCTTCCGTCGACGGAGCTGCCGTAATAGTAGCTAGCACCACTTCCTGTTCTGTCCTTTCAGTAGTAAAGGAATCATTTTCTGGAGACAATGTGGCCAATGGAGGCAGTGATCCATCATCGATGGCAGAGTTCACGGTATCTGACGCAGCAGGACCCTCATGGGGAGCATTCCCTGATGAACTAGCCACAGCATCTCCTTCGGCCACAAATGACACATCTTCTGAAGAGTCCTCGACGACCATGTCATCTGGCTTATCCTCCGAAGTAGTCATCGCAGGAGGATCTGGGATGGCGAAGAACTGAGCATCCTCTGCTAAAGATTAGCGGGGTAACGGTTAGAAATAAAGGTGAACACAATACGTACCTTCCGAGATGATTTCCATCCAGAACCGAATGATGCTCAATGAAGGATCCAGCGGAACATTCAAATCCGTAGTGCGATCAAAGGCCAGCGATGGTCCAGATTGGGCAAAGGAGTTACCAATCTGCCAGAAACGAACCCGCTCGGGACCAATGTGGTCAGAGCCTGAGGACTTCCAGGTTGCAATTCTTTTGCGTAGTTCTGCTAAGCGTGATGAGCGGGGCAAAGTCATGTACATGACACAGTTGGCCGCTTTGGCCTGTGCCATGAGGTCGTAGGAGTCAAACAGGCTGGTCAACTGGTCGTATTGGGGAAGCGCGTAAACCTCAACCTGGACATGGTCCGTAGGCTCGTCACCAGTGTGAACGCCTGTTTCATAGTATTGTTTCAAGGCCTCGGCAACTTCCCAAGGCCGTTGGGGACCAGGCAAAAGCTCCGACACCATGTCGCCACGGACATACATTGCCACAACAGGTACATCATGGCCCTTCTTGTGATCCACAGCCTGGGAAGGATCAAGACCAAGGTGTGGACCCATGGCTGTTTTCTGGGTCAAGCACTCCACGCGGTTGTCACTGCCATCGTCAAAAGCTAGCCATGTGGTACCCGGACCCGCCGGGCGAAGAATGCTAAAGAACTTGCCCGAGGTGCGGCGGCCACGATGAACAATATAGCCATAAAGGACATACTTGCTACCCTGGCCATCAACCACCCACGGGGCCAGATCCAGTTCCTCGTCCAGCTCCACTTTGTCATACTGCAGCTGCCAACGTTTGGCTTTATCCAGAGCATGACGGCCAAACTCAACATGAAGGAGCGATGGAAGCGACCAACGACCGGGCTTAGCACTCAAGTATCCACTAACGGCTTCGGAGGTAGACTTGGCCTGATCAACTGGCACGTAGAGACGCGAATTGAAGTCAGTCGGCAGCATGTTCACAGTGATTTCGCCATCAGAAGACGGAGCATTTACAGCCGGACTGTCAAATAGATGAGCGAATTGTTTGCCTGCCTCCGTTCCCTTCAGCTCCAGCTCCAAACTGCGACGTAGGCGCTCCCAAAATTCGGACACATCGCTCGAAAACTCGTGCATATTGCGCAAAGTGCTAGTCACGCCGTCCGTATCGACAAAGCTCGGGGAGAGTGTCTGGCGGCGAAGTTGCCACATAAGCCTTTGAAGAGCATCACATAGAGGCTTCGGCCTAGCATCGGCATTGGTGAGATGTTCAAGTACGTCAATACTTTGAACGATCTTGCAAAACGGAGCAATGTGCAGCCACGAGGCAAGCCCGGCTACCTCTGGGCTATGATTGATGATTGAGTCACCCAGAGGTCGGTAACCAGTCAAGGCCATGCTGTCCCAAGTTGGCTCGGAATCACTTGGATGCCACCAGAGGGACTTGGTGGGGTCGTTCACTACACGAATGTACGCGTCAAACGAGAGCGTATCGTTGTTCAGGAGAGCACGATGTTGACCCCGCCGGCGCGAATGAATTTGGTCCCATGGGCCGTGGAAATATGTCCAACCCCAATCCAGGTTGTGAGCATTAAATTGATGACAAGAAGACTGCATCCACCCCGTGCGTGGCTCTTGTGGGTTGTATACAATGACACCGACCTGCGCGGACACACGCCAAGAGTCCGAGGTTCCATGGTCAGATTGGGTGTTCCTGGCCTCAGGATATTGAGATTTGTAGTTCTCAAACCACGGAGCCGCGTCGTCTATGGCCGTAGTCTTTATTTGAATCTCCGGAGTGCTTTCGTCTAGTGAGGCATCGGCTGCGCCTCGGCGGACTGTAAATTCGGTTTCAGGGAGCTTTTCCTCTGGAGCGGGCATTGTGGGAGAGCATTCAAGGTAGACGCTCAATGCATTGGCATTGTTCCCCCGAGGATAGAACTTGATTCGCCACCAGTAACCCCCAACAAATGCTGGTGGGGAGCGAATGACTTTATCACGATTGGGGTTTTCGGGGGTGCCTCGAACACCCTTGAACGTCCACGTGAGACGGGCCTTTTCGGTAGGGATGTATTCGGGATCTCCCAAATCCCGAAAGAAGTTGGTTTCCCAATATTTGTCTGTCATAGGGTCAGTAAGTACTGATGTTGCATGGTCTTGTTTGTAAGGTGAACACCTACGATCACTAGCACTATAATCCGAATCACCGCTGTCGATCTCTTTCATCTCGTCCTCATCTGGGATGGTTGTGTCCTCCTCGTACTCTGCCCAATAGGCATGTTCCAGCTCTTCCGACTGCCGTATTGGCGCGGGGGAAGGAGTTGAATGGGATGATTCGGGGGACTGGTTTCCCGACTCGGTGTCTGTATTCGCTGTTCTCGTATCCTCCACTTCAGTCCCAGAGATTGGCAAATTGGGTAAGGGGTCCATGGCCTTCCAATTGGGAGAACCTCAAATATGTCCAACGAATGTGTTTAAACAAATATATAAAAAGCAGGTATACTCCTATATAAAGATTGATAAGGGCTTATCGGATAAGAGGGTTGCGGAGATGTGGAGAGAAGCCGATAGGGAGAGGAACGAGAGAAAACGAATGAACAAATTAGAGAATAAGGGGAGAGAGGAAGAAAAGAAGAAAAGTTCGGAGAAAGTAAAACGAAAGAGAAAAAACCAAAAAGGACAAAAAAAAAAATGGAAGGAACCAAAAAAGAAAAAAAGATAAAAAAAGGAAAAAGAGTCTGGGGGAAGTTGCCGAGTGGGTCCTTTTTGTATAGAAAACTGCCCTCAGGCTGATGGATTACTATGTTGTATGTACTAGACTGCATCATGTGCATTTATGCATAGTCTTCGAGCCCTTTACATATATCAGATATCTACATCTATTCTAATATTCGACTTATACATATTATACTTGACAAAGTCTAGCGGTGTGCCGATCCCCACTCAGGGGAGAATATCCTTAAATGCCGATATTTGGAACATTCGGTGGCGACTCGGCTTATCGAATTTCCATCGAATTTCCCCCTTTCGCCACTGGGCCTTTCAATGGGTCATCTGGGGCACGCCACCTCGGAAAACTGTTTTCTGTTTTCAGGCATATCAGGGGCATATAGCCATATCGGGCCGATCAACGTACCTATACCTGTACGGAAGCACACCGGATTGTAAAATGTACGTGGGCCAATCCTAACCAATCTTGAAACAATTGCAAGATCAAAGACCCTTGATTGACCCGAAACGGACCACTTTTGGGCGATGAGTGACACTGATTGGCTCTTTGAAAAAAGAAACCATTTCTAGACTGCGGGTTCCCGCATTGCTTGGCAATAAGTCCCGTCCTACCGAGACTCGAGAGATAAAATTGAAATCAATTATGTGTCGATTCGGCACGAGCAAATGAAGCAGCCACAATCATAGGGAATACTGCCGTGGCCTCAGCATAGACCTGAAGAATTAAGAAAGTCAGCTCGGCCCCAAACAAATAGAACAATAGAGCAAACTCACCTTGACAGACTTGGCATCCACCTTGATCTTGCCCCAGCTCACCGCTTCATCCGGCCGCGCACCCGCATCACTACCATCGAACTCCTGCGCGGTATTCACATACACTGCGTGTTCGGCTCCATTGCGCATCAGACATGCATTGGCAATGTGGTGCTTGACCACCCCGCCTCCCAAGATGATCATGCCGGCGCGTGTCGCTCGAACAGCCATGGTGTTGATACGGCGCACGTCATCCACAATATCCACTCGGAGTCGTTGTGGGGAAGACTTGAAGGTGTGGAAGTAAAGCATGTCACCCAGGGATCCATCTGTCAGGGCGGGACAGAATACGGGGATTCCATTCCGGGCTGCCCAGTACAGAACTGAATCCTCGTGGTCGATCTCACGACCCAATCGTTCGGTGATGCGGCTTGGTGTCCAGTGAAGCTCGTCCTCCTCATCCCCAGTCTCCCGAGCCTTGATCTTTGCAGCCTCCTGCTCCTCCAACATCTTGTCCAAAATGGGCACGAGCCAGTCCTCGAAAGAACAGTAGTTATTGTTGGGCACGATAAGGTTGCCAATGCGGTTGAGGCCCTTAGCACGAAGCCCAGCACCGGGAGTCGAGAATGATCCGAGATATGTGGGCGCTAAGCATTTGATCAAATCCTCCTCCACACCCCCAGCAGTGGTCACAATGGCGGAGACATGGTTATGCTTGACTAAATAACGTAGGGTGTCCCGAAGACCGGATGAAATCAAGTTCGATGTATAGCCGAGGAAGATGGTGGTTTTGTTTCCCGTCTCGGGATCACGGAAGGCGCGCTAAGGAAATCATCAGACTCTAACTCAGAGGCTCAAAAGGTTGCAATTATGTTCGGACGTACCATTTCATTGATGATTTGAGCAGCCTCGGCGACCGCGCTGCCCTGGAAACCGGTATGGGCCAAGTTGTCCACCATCTCTGCGACAGTGATATCTCGTCCTTGAAACTTATCAAAATCCACCCCGCTCACCACGTGAGATCCCTCTGGGACCGGTTGCGAGCTCTGGAGGACGGAGTCGGTCACCGAGGAGGGAATTACTGAAGGCTGCTGGGCGCTCATATTTGCGAAGAGATTGGGAAGGAAAGAAAAGGAAAGGGGGAATAGTTGTAAAGAGTGTGAATAAATCCGCGAAAGTGGTTTACTGAGGTGGAAAAACAAGAAAAAGAAGCCAAACCAAAAAAAGAAGGTCAGTTTGTATGTAGTAGAAGAGAGGGGCAGTTGATCTTTTTTTCTTTTTGGATTCGGCGGGGAACTGGGCCTTGATGCCTTGATGCCTTACAACCTTATCGCCTTAGGCATAGATCCCTCCACAGTACTACCATTTTAGGATTGGAGACTCTCGGAGATAGGTTTGAATGAAGAATCTCCTATAATATTGACCTTTTATTTCTCTTGTTCTAATATGCCTATTATTCTACTGATTTGATCTTCGATACTATAGTACTTGTACATGTACTGTTATACCTGACATCGAACATTCAATGTGAATAGAGTTTAGGAGGCACATCCCCACCACACTAGCGTTCAACTGGGTTAGTGCCGAGCCCCTTGAAGTCTCACGAACTCATATTCCAAACATATTCCTCACATATTCCAATATTCTCGACATATTCCTCTTCCATTCCTTTATTCCTCCATTCCTCTATATTACTCTTGTGTTGCATAACATCCGGCGCAAGGAGCTCGCATGATCTCGCCGATCTTGTAACGTGCTAGTTTTTCTTGTGTTCCACGTTAAATCTCCTTATCTCGACGAGTCTTCAGTATTGCCAACTTGAACTGTCCAGTTTCCATGGTCTAACAAGATCAAATCTAGCAATTTCAGAATAAAAAGGAAAGGAACGTGCTCAGGTGATATTGGATCTTTCCCTCCCAACTTGAAAAAGACTGCGCCTTACCCGATCGGGTATCCGTGCTCTTCAATTCTTCGTATGGTCCGTGCATTTCTTGTCACGTGCAGACCCTCTCGAGTGTCCGTTCTCCATCTTTGGGTATGTGATGGATTCTGCATTCCAACCGCCTTGGGCTGATTTGCACTGTACGTTGGACGTGCTGGAGCGCTAACCAGTCTACAGCTTCATGATAGCATGACGCGATAATGTCTTCCCGATTCCCCCCATCGTCCGGGTTCAATTCCCGTGACCGTTCTCCGCAGCGATTTGGAGACCGTCGCCCCCCCATCGGTCCTCGTGGTCCTGACGACGGACCTGCACCATTTGGGAGAGATCCACCGCGTGGTCCTCGGGCACTTGTTGATTCCCCTCGTGGTGGCCATTTTGGTGGTCGTGGCAGGGGTTATGGCCGTGGTGACTTTCGGGACCGAGACCGAGACCCACGAGAGCGCGACCGAGATCGCGAATTTCGAGACAACCGCGATGGTCCGCCATTTCGCCGAGATATGGACCGGGAGTGGGTTCGCCGTGACCGCGATTTTGATCCCCGAGACAATCGGATTGGCTTTGGCCGAGGTCGCTCAAGATCACCGACGCGCGACTTTCGGGACATAAGGGAGCCCCCAGGCCGCGATTTTGATTTGGTTCGGATGCGACGAAACTCGAGAGATAGTATCATATCCGCATCTTCGGGCGGCCCAGAAGGTCCTCCTCCCAATGGTGGCCATATACACCGAGGAGGCATGCGAGGGCGTGGTCGCGGAGATTGGGAAGGAGGCCGCGGTCGTGGTCGTCCACCCTTCCTCGATGATCGTGATATTTTCCGTCGCCGCAGTCGTTCCCGCGAACCGTGGCGTGGACGTGATCGGATGGTGGATCGCGATAGAGATCGAGATATGGACCGGGATCGTGCATTGGATCGCGATCGGATGATGGATCGTGATCGTGACCGTGACCTTCCACGTCCGAGAGATCGAGATCGAGAATTAGATCGCGACTTGGATCGTCGAGATCGCTTTGACCGTCGCGACGATTGGGATAACCGACGACCTGATCGCGAGGACCGTGATCGCCCAGTGGACTTTTGGAAACGAGAGCGCCCCCCAAGTCGTGCAGATAGCCGCGCAGCTAGTGGCTCAACCACTTCCTCACATCCTCCTACAGCACCTGGCCCTGGACCTGGACCAGCCATAGCAGATCGCCTGTCTGACCACACCCAAGTGGACCATGGTCGAAAACCTCCGAGCATTCCCAGCACAGCGGCTCTGGAACCTACGCGAGATTCTGAGCGAAACGACCCTGTTGCTGTTCGACCTAGTACTCGACCTGATGCTGTTCGACCTGATCCTCTTCGCCCTGATGCTGCTCGGCCTGATGCTATTCGACCGGATGCTGTTCGACCGGATGCTGTTCGCCCTTATGCTCCTCGACTGGATGCTGTTCGCTCCGATGCTCGACCGGATGCTCCTCGACCAGACGCCGCTCGCCCTGATGCTATGAAGAACCCTGGACCTATCATTCGGAACTCACCACCTCCAGCCGCCCCCCAGGTGCCTGCCTTTGGCTCGGTGACTGCCCCAATTACGAATGTTTCCTCAAATAAAGATACTTCAGACCAACGCACGGCGCCGAATTCTACTTTTCCCACAGAGAGAGACCGCTATGAAGTCCTACAACGACAACCGGCCCAACCTCCTACAGGGCCCAAGGCAGAAAGGACCGAGATCACACAACCTCTTGAGCCTCGCAGCCGTCCAGAAGGACCCCGGGAGGCTGGCAAGCAGCAAGTTGCGCATCATCGGCTCTCTAAACCATCTATCAATTTTCCTGATGTATCACCGCCCACCGCTCCAGCTGCCATGACTCGGCCAGATTCGGGGGTAGGACCCAATGAAGGATTTGGCGGCGCGAGGTCGAACTCACTCACCTCTTCCCCTACCTTTGCACGGATTCCACCGCCTGCCCCACGCGCATTATCCCGTGAGCCCTCTATGTCGCCTCGAATGCAACCGTCTGGCATTCCAACCGGCCCTCGAGCATTTCAATGGAAGGCTCCCTCCCCGCGTGGTCGCAAAGGCAGCAAGCAGTGGGTGCGACCTGGCTACGGCCGAACACCTTCTATTCCTAATACACTGCCGAAACAAGAGCCTGCTGATGAGAGCGAAGGTGTTTCCCCTGCCAACGAAACCACGCAGCCTCTATTACCACCTGAGATAGACGAGCCTGAGAGTGGCGAGATTCTCCCCCATGAACCTGCGAGAGAACCTTCCCCCGTTTCCCCGTCGTTGAACCTCCCACTCCGTCGTAGTTTATCGGTCGTCGACGTTCAAACGAGTGATGCCAAGGAACCCTCTGAGCAGGGCGGCACTGATAAACCCGCCTTGATACCAAACTTTGAAGGTTCAAGTGACGAGGAAGACGGGGAGAACATTGTTTTCACCCAGGAGTATCTTGATGAAAGAAAGCGGATCTTTGAAAAGGATATGGAGTCCCTCCGAGCAGAATTGCCTCCATCACCTTTGGAAGATTCTGCCATTGTCGCTCTTTTGCTTAAAATCCAGTTACTTGGAATGGTAGCCAACGAAGAGAGAGTTGAACGAGTGTTGGGACGGTCAGTGGATCCTTTGCCTTCAGTAGAGGATGAAGAGTCAGCTGAGCATCCAAGCACTGAACGAGTGGTCCCTTTTGCCTCGACAATACCCGAGCGCGAACCAGAACCAATTTCAGAAACTATCATTCCCCCCGTGGTACCTCCTGGTGAGGTTACTGTCGAAAGCCTTCCATTCTTGCACTCAGGGCCTCCAACGCCTATTTCAGATATGGATGTATACCATGAGAACATTGCAACACAAAATCGTCTTAAAGGCACGTTCAGCACAGAACTTTCAAAGGTGCAAGCGGAAGTTTTCAGGAAAAACGCAGTTCTTAGGGACGAGTACGTATCTCACTACAAGCTCTGGCGAATGGCTATCTGGGAGCTCGATCGTATGAAGGACAAGAAGTCCGTGACTCCTGGTCCAGCGTCTCCCCCAGTGTCCACGGTTCCAACTACCCCAGCACCCATGCCGGAAGGCCGTGAAGGTCGTCGGTACAAAGGAAATAGCGAGCTTGATTTTCTCAATGCTTTGAAGGCCTCCGAAATCTCCGCCCAAGAAGAGATTGAACGTCGACGAATCAAGATGGCTACTGCTCGGCCCGATTTGGGCCGTGAAGCGGTCATTCCGAACATGCTCGAGCCGCGGGAGGTAAAGGCTCGCATCTACAAAGATGTGAACAACACCATTGAGTGCAATAGGGCTTTGGATGTTTTTGGCTTTGTGCCGCCCCCTAATGACTTCACCCCGGAGGAGCACGTAATCTTTACAGACGCCTTCATGGCTCATCCGAAACGGTGGGGCAAGATTGCCGAATCTTTGCCCGGTCGAAATTTCCAGCAGTGTATTGTACACTATTATCTCACCAAGGAAGAGATTAAGTACAAGGCCAAGCTCAACAAACGCTGGAGTAAGCGGGGCAAGGGGACTCGAAAGGGTCCACGACCGAAGTCCAACGCTCTCATCGCAGACTTGGGTGTGGTGAAACCTGACTTTGTTGGCGAGGAGGAGCCACCCGCTGTCACAGACACCGGTCGTCCGCGACGAGCGGCCGCGCCCACCTTTGGCGATTCCACCGAGGTAGAGAGCGCGCCAGTTGGCCGTCGGGTCCAACTTGGCAAGGACGGCGAGCCAGTGGAAAGATCGTCGACTCGGCGTGGCGGACGGGGCGGAGGTACTCGCGGTGGACGGCGCGTGAAGACCGCCACTCAACCGGATCCGAAGGCCCAGGCGGTAATGCCACAGGGCAATCTGCCTCCGATCGTACCGCCAGCACCACTTCACCCTGGAAGCGAGATGGAGTTGGTTTCAGATCACGTCTTGGAAGGGTATGAGGCCCGGGAACGAGAGCGTTCTGAAAAAGAATCCTTACCGCCAATTCCGCGAGGCAGGGTGGGACGAGGGCGAGCGAAAGAAGGAGTTTATGTCTTTGAGTCTACTGAGGTTGAACCGTCTCTGGCAACCAAACAGCTCGAGTCGGGATATGGCTCTTTGCAGCCAACGAGTTACTGGTCTGTACCGGAGCAGCGCGATTTCCCAGCCTTGCTGGCGCATTTTGGTCGTGATTTCGAGGGTATCTCGGCCTTTATGAAGACCAAGACAACGGTGATGGTACGTATTGGGTCCTTCCATCCCAAGTTTTCATTTCCCACTTCCCCCCAGATGTACTATGTTTGTGTTTGTTGACTAGCCGGCTAACGTGCATGATGCATGCAGGTCAAAAACTTCTATCAACGTCGTCTGGACTCAGGCCAGAAAGACTTTGAGTTGATTCTAACAGATGCAGAGGAGAAGAAGGCTCGCGGTGAGGCCACAGGGCCGGTTCCTATTCCAAGTGTTGCGCCAAAGAGACGATACGAGGCAACTCCGTCTTCTATCATCCCTCGTCCACTTGCCCCTCATGGGGATCCTATGACTGAGGTTGATGAAATACGATTCCCTAAAGGCAAGCCTGTTGGTCTCTCGCCACAGCCCATGTCCCTACATGGACGACCTCCGTCCGACAAGGACCGGAATGTCGGTCGCTACCAGCCGCTTGCACAAGCTTCCGCCGCTTCACCAGTGCCCTCTACCGCGACTCTAATCGAAGAGTCAACTCGTGCAATTCGCGCGCAGGGAGGACCATCCCACCGCATTCAGGGCCCACGCCTTGGGTATTTTACAGAGGAGAGACGAGAATCTTCGGTATTGCCCCATGCCACTTCTCGTGCGCAAGAACTACCGATGTCCTCGCGCCATCCTGGCTCCGTGCCAACGGAGATGGCACGGATGGAACCTTTGTCCGCACAGGCCTATATGCCCGCACAGCAGCCAACTTCTCTCCTTTCATCGACCCATTCGCGTCATGCCAGCTTAACCCAAACCCCTGGCTCGCCAACCCAGCAGCTTAGACCAGAACTCGACATCTCGTCTGTTCACCGCGATCCCTTTGCCCAGATACCCTATTACTCGCTCGCAGGTCAACCCATGGGTCTAGCCCAGTCTCCTCGCCCTGGGTTGTCGCCAGTGAAGGATGTCCCTCGCCCGAGTGCTACTCCTGCTCCCGATGCAACTCGCCAGGTGCCTGCCAAACGGTCTAATATCATGAGCATCCTCAATGATGAACCTGAAGAGCCTCAGCCGCGCAAACGGTTCGCCAGCGAGCAGGCTCCATTTGCCCCTGGCGCAACCCCAGGCATAAACCCAAGGCCCGTATACCAGGCCAGCGGACCCCCTCGCCACGAAGACAGTATTATGCCAAGTATGCCACAAAAGCCTTCTGGTTACGCCCAGCAAAGCCAATATCAGACATCGTCTCGCGGCCACTCAGAGTATCCTGGCTATGGACCCCCTCATGGTGGCTCGGGCACATCGGCGAATAATGACTGGATGGCACGGTTTGATCCACGGGCGCAACAAACTCCGCCGCAGCCTCAAGCCCAATCACTGCCACCACAGCAACAACAAAGCGGCCGTCAGGGTTCCTATTCATCTTACGCGGCAACCCCGAGCCAATCTTCCTTGACGAATCTTCCCGCGCCATCCCCAGCGCCGACTCCCCCGCCAACAAATGCCTCTCAACGATCGGCTTATCCCAACGTTTTCTCCCAAGGGTCTTCTGCTCAACCGCCCACGGCCTCTGGCTCCCGGGATGTGGCCTCGCAGCCGGCTTCCTATCGACCAGGGTCACCTGGCCCGCGTTCTAGTATGGCATATGTGTCGCGACAAGATCCACCGACGCCAGCGCAGTCTTCGGCTAGCCTGTATGGTATGCATCCGCGTCAGTCAGCAACGCCAAATCCAGTACAGCCACACAGCTATCAACAACATGTGCAAACAATGGTCAGTGGGTCGCATCAGCCGCAATCCCACCGCTCAACACCTGTCAACTTAGCCGGTGCTTCTTCGCAGTACGGACATAACACCCCTCCTCCCCAGTCCCAGTCTGGCCGGTCAATGGCATCGCTGGCGAGCCTCGGTCGTTCATACACCCCTCCGTCGGCTCTACATCCTTCTATGAGCGGGGGCACCATGGGAAGCTATGCTCCCCCTCAGTCGTCCGCGCCTGGATCGATACCGCCGCTCCAACAACGACCTGCAGGATCGCTTGGTGACACTGTTTCCACCCCGACACATCACCGTGTCTACAGCCATGGGTCGGCTCAAGGTGGGCTACCGCCGCCTTCGCAACCTCCTCGCTAGGGTGGTACTTTCGATCGATTTAAACGAACTTCATGTGGAGTGTAAGACCGTACTGGGTTCGGTTGTACATTACTTCGTTGTCTTTGTCTTTTTTCCTCTTGTTTAGCGTCCTGGCGTCTTTGCCAGCGAGGATATTCATTTGATCATGGTTTAAATGTATAACTAGATGAATGATTTTATGTGTCAAACCTTGATGTAATGAATCTGTACACAGTACTGTCTACAATGTAACTTATAAGATGAGGCTTAAGTCGGACTTACCTGAAGTAGCATAGTGCCCGAGCGCTCCGGCCCCGGGGGCTTGCTCTAAGGCTGTGCCTTCATCTTCATCTTCTTCGTCTTCTGTGATTCTGTCTCGGGAACAACTTGAATATACCATGAAACCTGCCGGTAGAAACGAGACTGCCTTCATCTCAGGTCCGATAGACACTGGCCCTGAAGAATCCTACTTTCACACTCACTATGTATCCCAAATCAACCATGCGATCAACCTCAATCACCTCTTTGTTATTGGTCCTATCCCAACTGGCGTGGACGCAGATGCACTCAACTATCTCTTGGAATACCCCATCTCACCTAGCCGAGTCACCATCTTTGTGACCCAAGCCGAGAACGGGATGTGGGGGGCGCACTTCCGCTCGTTCGGAGTCAACGTGCAGGTAGTAGAAGGCCAGATGAGTCGTGATCGAGACACGGCTCTAACAAGTGCCAGCACGTACGATATTCTACGGGTGCGCACAAAGAAGGAGGCGAAGGCCTTTTATGGCCGCATGTGGCGCGACGGACATGTCACAAATACGGAGCGCAACTGGAAGCGACGTCGGGGAATCGCAGAGGATGAGATTATCGAAGAGGAGGCGATCAATAGTTCGATGGGGTATGACTTGGGACGAACTCCCAACTCGCCAGGGTTCTGCTAGCACGAGTCCACAAGGTGTTGCACAGGTCTAAGAATTGAACTATATTATATAGAATAGAGCCACTGCGTATAGTAACCCCTTTCATAACTGTACATATTATTATGTGCTTTATGATATAGAAAGTATATAGAGGAAGTACATATGAATAGAATGGATTTCTTGGAGCGGAAACTGAAATGTCATTCCGCGGGGAAACTGTTGAGAGGAGTGCGGAATGAACATTCCGCATATGCGCGGTGGAGACATCTTCCCCTCCGGACTGGTGAGTTGTGGACTTTGACCTATAAGAAACTGCTTTGACTGCATTCTGTGAATTATGACTGGCTAGTGAAAGTGACGTATCACCTGCTCTCTTTCCATATGCGAGTCTCTAGACTCGGAAATATGCCGTAGCCGAAATGCAGGGTTATAAGAGATGCATGCGTCTCCCACTGGTCACGAAGTCTGCAATTGCTTGTTTCACTCTATTATGACGATCCAAACACTTGCAGTCGCCGTTATCACGGTGGTCTATTTCATCATTCGGTATTTCAACCGCACTGATATCCCTAAGATTAAAGGCATCCCGGAGATTCCTGGCGTACCCATATTTGGCAACCTATTGCAGCTAGGAGATCAACATGCAACAGTCACCGGGAGATGGGCAAAGAAATTTGGCCCAGTTTTCCAAGTGCGCATGGGAAACAAGGTAAATCCTTTTCCAATCGGAACTATGAACGGAATTGATAATCTAATGTGCCTAATAGCGCATCGTGTTCGCCAACAGCTTTGAATCCGTCCGTCAATTGTGGATTAAGGACTCATCGGCTCTAATCTCCCGCCCAACTTTCCACACCTTCCACAGCGTTGTCTCCAGCTCACAGGGCTTCACTATCGGAACTTCCCCGTGGGATGATTCTTGCAAGAAACGCCGTAAGGCAGCTGCCACTGCGCTGAATCGACCGGCCGTGCAATCGTATATGCCAATCATCGATCTAGAATCCAATTCCAGCATTAAAGAGCTGTACCGGGACAGCCAGAATGGCAAACTTGACGTGAATCCCACTGCATATTTTCAGCGGTTCGCCCTCAACACCAGTTTGACTCTGAACTATGGGTTCCGCATCGAGGGAAACGTGGACGATACGCTGCTGCACGAGATTGTGGACGTGGAGCGTGGCGTGTCCAACTTCCGCAGCACTTCGAACAACTGGCAGGATTACATTCCCCTATTGCGCATTTTCCCCAAGATGAACAACGAGGCGGCAGACTTCCGGGGTCGCCGTGATAAATATCTGACCTACTTGCTCGATATGCTCAAGGATCGAATCGCCAAGGGAACTGATAAGCCTTGCATCACTGGTAATATCTTGAAGGATCCCGAGGCTAAGCTGAATGACGGTGAGTTACAAATCTCGTGAATGTTGCCAGGTGGAATTGAGTACTCATCTATCGTCTAGCCGAGGTGAAATCGATCTGTTTGACTATGGTATCGGCTGGTCTTGACACCGTTCCGGGTAATTTGATTATGGGAATTGCCTACCTAGCGTCTGAAGACGGCCAAAGAATTCAGAAAAAGGCATATGATGCAATCATGGAGGTTTACCCGGATGGCGATGCTTGGGAGAAATGTTTGGTGGAGGAGAAGGTCCCCTATGTGACTGCACTGGTCAAGGAGATCTTACGGTTCTGGACGGTCATTCCTATTTGTCTTCCACGCGAGAGCACTAAGGATATCCAGTGGAATGGTGCCACAATCCCTGCCGGCACGACTTTCTTTATGGTATGCTGCTCCTTGCTTCTGTTTTCTTTGGGACTATGCTAACAGGGCCTTTAGAATGCTTGGGCTGCCGATTACGACGAAGAACACTTTAAGGATGCCGATAAATTTATCCCGGAGCGTTACTTGGAGGCCAGTGAGGGCGCAGGCACTCCACACTACGCATATGGAGCGGGATCACGTATGTGTGCAGGCTCGCATCTCGCCAATCGAGAGCTGTTTACTGCTTTTATCCGCCTCATCACTGCTTTCCACATGCACACGGCGAAAGAGGCGGCTGACCGACCAATTCTTAATGCAATTGAGTGCAATTTAATCCCGACAGCCTTGACAACCGAGCCGAAGCCATTCAAGGTTGGCTTTAGTGCACGCGACCCTAAGAAGCTTGAGCAGTGGATTGCTGAGAGCGATGAACGCACCAAAGACCTATAAGAGGAAGCTCTGTCTGGTATTATTCTCTCTGTGTGTCCAAGGCCATTTATGTATCTACTTAAAAACTACATATGTGTTTGAAAGGAAGACAACGAAATATAGATGTAGACCAAATCGGCGACCTCGGTCTCTCCGTGGGCTTTTAAGAACCTGAATAGAAATGTTAAGTGATCAAGAGTGATCGGAGAATATCGCAAAGAAAATAGATCTCCTAATATCTATTAATTCCTAGACCCTTTTCCTAAATTCATTCGCAGTGACCTCTCTTCTCTTTGTAACTCCGGGCCTCCCCCAACGGAATCTCCCCGCATTTTCTCGACCTCACACTTTTCTTCCTCTTCACCTTATTCCCATCGAGTTGAGATGAAATCTGATCACATTTAATTGCGTCGTTTTGGACAATGAATAATCTGCAGATGTACCCTGCCCCCGAGACCTGGGGTAACCCGCCCTCGGTGGACGATACGAATGATGATCGCCCGCGAAAGAAACGCCGCAAATACATCGCCAAAGCCTGGTCAGTTTTGAAATGTTATTCGAGATTGATGGCTAACGAAATCGCGAAGCAATGAATGTAAACGTCGCAAGATCAAATGTAACGGCCAGTCACCATGTCAGCGTTGCGGACGCCAGCATATTGAGTGCATTTACGTTGAGAACTGTCGAGACAGTCCCACCGAACAAGAGTAATGCCCAGCCCAGGTCTGTGTGTTTGAACAGGACTAATATTTCCATTTAAAGCAACTTCAGGCAGCTTTTTGACCAAATGAGGGCCATGCAGGACCAGATTACCCAGCTGTCTGCTAGTATTCGGTCAATAGCCAGCAGCGAACATTCTCCCGGAGGTGTTTCCGTTACCGGCACCTATGGACAGGTCCCTACCCAACGTTCGCTCAGGCGCCTGTCAACAGCTAGAGAGACATCATTCCAAGGCCCGACGACATCGGCCTTTAGTTTCGACCTTGCGAAATCCAGCCTGCAGCAGCGCGGGATTGTGGAACGTGCCGAGGGTGGCGACGAGGGTGACATGACTCAAGAGCCATCACCGCTGGCATCACCATCGGCTCCAAATGAGGAAATTGAAACGCGCCAGACCCTCGATCCACTTTGGGTTCTCTCCAAAGCCGAGGCACTTCGCCTTTGCCATGTCTACGAGGAGGAAATGGGCATCATGTACCCAGTTCTGGAGCTTTCAGAGATTTTGGACCAGGTTGATATTCTCTACGACCCGAGGGACCGCGCGCTTGGACCGACTGGCCAGCCCGTTGGACACGATGGATTGTCTCGCAAAGACGTCCATATTCTACGTTTAGTGTTTGCCTGTGCGTTGACAGCCGAAGCCAGTGGTCGGAGTGAACAGGCTATTTCTCTTTTTGACAGTGTGCGAGAAGTTCAGGACAATTGCGTCTGGGGTCCGCCTGAAATTAAGAACATCATATTTTTGACTCTCGTTGTTTGTCATGCCCAATCAATCGTGAATGCCCGCACATGCTAATTCTACCGATAGTCAATGTTCTATTTTCAAATGGACGAGGAAATTCTGGCGTGGCGCACCGTTGGTATCGTGGAGCGCATGTGCCTCGAGAAAGGTCTTCATCGACGGGAGACTCTGAATCAACCGGCCATCATAGCCGTAGGGAAAGATCGCGTTCTGCGACTATTCTGGTCTATATATATATTGGATATGCGGTGGAGCTTTGGGACTGGCATGCCGTTTGCTCTGGAAGATACAGATATTGACCCTTGGCTGCCAGAGCCCGCCGAGAAAACGCCATATCTGCGCGTAATGATTCGGTACAGCCGGATCGCAGCGAAGGTATGGAAGTTCATATCCGCATTTAACAACACGAACGAAATCAAAAAAGAGGAGATGAACTATTTGGATTGGCAGGTGTTGCGCTGGGTGCATGCCATTCCAGACTCGTTGCGGCTCGATCATCCGAGTTCTGCGGAGTCTGAGACTGCCACTGAAGGCTCCCGGAGCCTGCGAAGACTGCGTGCCCTACTTTATCTTCGCGCTAATCAGCTACGCATGCTCATTCACCGTCCCGTCCTTCATACTTCAGCACATGTTATGCGATATCCGGGCGAGTCGGAGACAGCGGTGGGAATTGCCAAAGATACAATTCGCTTCATTACCCGCTTGAACGATACATCGAACATCTACCAACTGCAGCAGGTGGCATTTAATTGGTTCCTCGTCTCGGCCCTTGCAGCTTTATTCCTGGCAGTAGCCCAGGCTCCATCACAATTCAGTGGGTCGTGTAAGGAGGAATTTTACTTGGCCTTGGAGTTGGTCAAAGGAGTCTCAGCCCAGTCTTATATATCTCGCCGACTATGGAAGTCTATTCGAAGCCTCCGTAAGCTTGGTCCTCAATTGGGCCTGGGGGTCCAGAAACAGCGCCTGGTTATCGAAGCCGGGGTTGAAAGAGAACATTCAAATGTCCACGGTTGTCCTACATTGCCCCAATCTGCCAGCATCCACAGTCAGACACCGCAGGATGGGGAACAAATGACACAGGAGTTGATGGAGTGGTTTGAAGCCGTGGGGAATGTGGAGGATCAAATCATGGGGATGGGAACGGGCCCTGCGCCAGATGGGGGGAATTACGAGCAGATGCCTGACAGGGGTTTTGTGTTTGATTATGGCGAAGAGTTATCGAGTGTGATGAAAGATTTTTTCTGACTATGTACAATATAGATCGACCAGTTATAGATATGTGACTTTGAACAAAATGGGTGGCAGGTGTTAAGAATGTCAATATCTAAGGCTGTCTTCAGATTTAGGACTGCATGAAGACGTCTGTTGTGTTTCTGGTATCATGACGAATTGTGTAGTACGTTGGGGAGAATGTGCCAATCTTGAGGGACATAGCAAGCAAAATGGACTTAGACATGAAGCTGTGAATTTCTGGGGTTCTATTTCTTCCTGTGGGTTATATCTTGCCGACATCGCATTGATCTAGTAGATATATTTGAATTCCAGTTCCCCATCACCCGTCCGGACTCGTCGATTCTCTTCCTTTTCGCCACTGATAATTTGTTCCTTCACCCTGTTCTCCCGCCGCAAGTAGAGACCATATGCAGTTACTGTGACCTGCGCCACTGCAAGGGACCCCAAGGAGAAGGAGTTACCCAACACATAAGGTGATGTGCGATAGACCTGGCCGGCAACAATACCAGCACAGTTGCCGATCGTCTGCTGGAGCCCAATTGCGAGAGCACGACGGTATTGTGGGGCGATATTCACGTTCAACCAAGCGACGTTGAGACCAACGGATGTATAGGTAGTGATACCAATGAGGAAAGTGGCGAAGTATAGGACAGCGGTATTATCGACCGTGAGAAGTATGATGTAACCAACAAGGCCGAAGATATTGGCTGCGAAGATGTACTGTGAAAGGTTAGTGAGGAGCGGTGCATTGGAGATTGTAAGGGGCTCAACCCACCGATGCAAATTTGGAGTATCGGTCTGAGCACCAAGCAATTGCGATAAAGACCATGGCAGCCCAGACATAGACTGGGACAGTCAAGACGTTGCTCATCAGGGAGTCATAGCCCATACCACCCAAGATAGTGGGCAAGAAAGTGCTGAACCCATACAAGAGAATATCCTGACAGAACTGGATGACACTGCTGAACATCAACTTGGGATCTCTGATTGCAATGAGCATCTCTTCCCAGCTAAACTCTTCGCTTCCCATGTACTTGCGACGCTGCTCGTTGCGTACCCGCATCATCCATTTCTCCTCCTCGGTGAGGAAGTAGGCCTCGGCCGGGTTGTTTGGTAAACCGAACCAGATAAGAACGGCACAGATGATGCTGAACAGGCCTTCAATAATATAGACCCATCTGAGATATTGTAAGCGACCATGACTTTACTTGTGTGGGATAAAGAAAAGCATACCTCCATCCTGCTTTGCCACCAATCCCATCCATCTGCAAGATGCCGTAGGCCAAAAGACCACCTACAGCCCCTGAGATAGCAGCGCAACTCATCAAGTAGGAAACACGCTTTGCTTGCTCCTCGCGACGATAGACCATGGTCAGGTAGAGATTCAGACAAGGGAACAGCCCGGCTTCGCAAGCACCCAGGATGAGACGAGTGGCGTAGAGAGAGCCTACCGACTCGATAAATCCGGTGAAGATGGTGGTTAGGGACCAAATGATGCAGAGCCCCGTCAAGATGTTGCGAGGGGTCAACTTCTTCATCATGACCGCCCATGGTGCTTCGAAAAGAACGTATGTCACATAAAAGATGGAGACAGCGGTCGAAAACTCATCTGGTGAAGCATTGATATCCTCGGGCATATTGGCAACCTTGACATTTCCTGATCTTCGTGAGCTTATGCTCTTTCCGAGGAGATTTAAGAAAACTCACCGATACTCGATCTGTCCAGAAAACATGTGAGATAGGTCAACATGATGATGGGTACAAAGGCAGCATCCAGCTTGACGAGCAGTTTCGCCTCTTTCTTTGGATCCAGCACCACATCCAAAGACTCGCCGGCGATAGCATAGTTTGCTTCTTCGCCATCTTCTTTTTTCAGGGAATCCTTGAGCTCCAAAGGGATATTGTGAACTGCCTCGTGCGACATGGCTGCTATGGGTTGCAGCAAATCGGAGATTGAAAGGAACTAATTGATTGTTATAAAGAATGCGATCATAACATGGATAGTGAAATGGTTCCCTATGGTCTCCTATCTTTGATACAAGCCACCTGGGCAAGTGTGGGGGTCTATCGGGCCGACGGTGATAAGAAGGAAAAAGGGCCAATAGGCCAATAAGAAAGGGAAGAAAGGGGATATCCACTAATACAAGCAAATGCGATGATCCAAACAGATCCCAACTGGAAGAGGCAAGTCGATAAACCATAAATATGGCTTATTCGCTGGGATATCTCTGTTTCCCCAATTTCCCCAGAAAATCGGTATGTGGATCCCGAAAGTTGATAACCGAGGGTATTTTCGTTGGAGTCAAATGATATAGGATATATCATTTGATATTAATATGATAGGATATGAATATCAGTATCCTCATTTGGTACCTTTCTAAAAGTATTGTCAATATGGACAATACCGCTCAGGAGGCACGACTCCGCTGTCGCTATAATCAACTTACGAATACCGCCGGTGTTGCACCGGGATATTTACAAGCGAATCTTTTGGTACTTCCATCAAAATATGCTGCCGATTTCCATAATTTGTGTTTGCGCAACCCAGTTCCTTGTCCTCTACTAGGAATGACAGTCCCTGGGGACCCAAGTGCCGTTCGACCGGCAGAGTGTATTCGGTCCGAAAATTTTGATATTCGGACGGATTTCCCCAAATACCGAGTATATTCAGCTGGGAAGTGCATTGAGAGTCGTCGTGACCTGTCCGATGTATGGACTAAGGATCATGTGGGCTTTTTGATCGGATGCTCGTTCTCATTCGAGGATGCCCTGACGGCGTCAGGGTTGCCACCGCGTCACCAGAAGACCGGCACGATAGTTGCAATGTACCGATCGAACATTCCTTTATTACCCGCTGGGATATTCACTGGCAGCCACTGTATTGTATCCATGCGACCGTATCGTCCCGAGCATATTGAGAGAGTCAGGGAGATCACTCGGGCCTATCTGTCGACGCATGGAGAGCCTGTCGCCTGGGGCTGGGATGGTGCAAAGCAACTGGGAATTCTTGATGTGGCAAAGCCGGACTTTGGAGAACCGCAAATATTCGAGGACGGCGAAATCCCTGTATTTTGGGTCAGTTCCACACACGTAAATCACCTTGATGTTTTCTGACTTCTTCCCAGGCCTGTGGAGTTACACCTCAAATTGCCGTCGAAGCAGCAAGTAATAAAATTGAAGGGCTGGTCTTTTCCCATGAACCCGGCCACATGCTAGTCACGGATTGGACAGCAGAAGATTTGCAGAAACTCAAGCCTGGAAGCATTTAGAAGAAAACAACATGAATCCACATTCTGAGATTATCAACTTGATCATACTTCTCGTGCGGCTCATCAAAGGCGGTTAATTAGTGAATGCACGTCGCTTACCACAACTTTGGAGCTTCTTATATGATCTATTCTCTAATCTTCGCATGTTCATTTCCACATGTACTTGGCATTTCAACAAGTATCTAGCATCTCAACAAGAGCAGCCTTCTCGTCCGACGTGATGGTAAGATCATAAACCGATTTCACCTTGACCCACATTTTGGCATAGGTGCAGTAATATGAAGCTGTTTCGATGTCAGCAATCTATAAACTAGAATACACACGGTTGAGGACGTACCTAGGGGAGGCTTCCAGTCTTCTGGGCCTTTGTCGCCCTTTGCGGCGTTCACGTTGTCGGTGACTGCTATGAGCTGGGGGTTCTCGACGTCATTGGCGAAGGCTTGCCGATCTGCTTTGGTCCAACTGGACGCGCCAGACTGCCAATATTCATTAATATCTCAAGCTGCCAAGTCTTTCCAGGTGATCAGAACTCACCTTCCATGCATTCGATAGCGGGACGACGTGATCAATGTCGACATCACTTGCAGCTGTCCACGTCTCGCCATCATACGGAGAAAGCCAGGATCCGCTAGTGGCACCGCAGCTGGAGCTTTGGACCACGTCGGTTCCATCCCGTTTGAGGACTGTTTCGCGTGTGTTGCAATCTCTGTCAACAGCAATTTGAGTTGCCAATACTTCAGAATCACGGCGATCTCATTACTCACCCGCTGATAGTAATCCAGTGCGGAAATTCTTCACGGCTATATCCATCCTGCGATCCCTGTGCAGCAACGGTCAAACCTTCTAGCTCACTCCTTGCGGTAGAGGCAGATGGGATTCCAGGTGGGGTAGGTAAAGCTCCGCCTAGGAAAGGCTGGATGGCGAAGGCCAGAACCCAGGCAGCGCGAGAGATACCCATTGTAGTTTCCTTTGGTAAATGTCGATGGTTTTCCGATTGACCTCTGAATTCCAACTGGAATGCGTTGAGTGATCAAGGATCCTGTCAGGAATGTAGGATAAATACAGACCATCTCTAAGTTGGAACTGTACATTTTATACTCCGGCTTTATCGGCTGCAAGCCAAAAGTCCCCGCATACACGATGCTAGTCCAGTACTGATTCAGCTCCAAATGCATTGTAACATCGGCCCCCGAGTCTTGGCCCGGTGCTTGGCGTCGCACGTTGATCAATCATTGGCTTGTAACTGGACAGTCGCGGGGAGTGCGGGAGTCGTGATTGATAACAAGTACACCATTCGCCCATTCATATACGACAAGTAATCTGGGCTGGACAAGGCTCGGACGATGGCCCTCGTTTTAGAAGGTTGAAACGCAAGTCTGCATGAAAGCTGACAGGAAAGTCCAATATGGGAATGATCTTCAAAGATCTTCACCATTTCTCAGTTTTGCGGTGCAGATTATGACTACGTTGTACTACAGTCTGTACTGAGACTCGGGACAGGGGAAATCATAGGGTTGCAATCACGCCACCAGAAAGGTTAATCTATGAATGACTTGCGTGTCGACTTCACAGTAAGCCCCGAGCAAACTGCCACGGGAGAGATACTTTCACACCTAGCTTCTTGGCTGCCATTAGCACCCATTCGGGCTCACGCAGAAATTGACGGGCCATCAATACGGCATCAGCCTGAGGCTTTGGGCCAGACAGCATTGCTTCGGTCGCCTGTGCCTCTTCTTCTGCGCCCTGAACAATATCGCGAGCGGACTGGGCCTCTGTAATAAAGCCAACAGCTCCAACCAGCGTCGTATGGTTGGCGGCGTGGATTTCCTGACGAATTTGGCCAGCGAGGTCAATCTGATAGTTCGTGTGAGGCTCAATACGTTGGCTTTTGTGATTACCGCCTGAGCTGACATCCAGAAAGTCAATGCCTAGGTCCGGTAATAATTTGGCAAGTTGAATTGAGGATGGCATGTCCCAGCTTCCGGTTCCTGCTGCGACAGTTTGATTCTCGAGCCAGTCTGTTGCACTGATACGAAGGAACAAGGGCATTCCACTGGGCACGACGGCACGAATGGCGGCAGCCACCTCGCATAAGAATCGAGTGCGGTTCTCAAAGCTGCCACCATATTTGTCGGTTCGTCGATTGGTAACCGGGCTGAGGAATTGGTGGAGCAAATATCCGTGGGCACCATGGATCTCAATTACATCCACTCCGGCCTGTGCAGCAAGCCCTGCACTTCGTGCAAATGCGCGAACAATTTCTTCAACCTCCGCCGTTTCAAGCTCGCGAGGGGGCCAGAATTGATCGCCAGGTGCCCAAATTTGCTCTTCCCCACCAGAGGGGCCAACCACATCTAATGGCCAGCCACCAACACTTTCATCAGCTTTGATGCCACGTTGCTTTGCTTGTGATGCGAGCCAGGGCGCCACCGTGCTAGCCTTCCGGCCGGCGTGAGCAAGCTGAATTCCGATTTTAGCCCCTTGACTGTGAGCGAAATTCACCACGCGGCAGAGTCCTTTGAATTGTTCGGAGTCTGTCCCGTCCTGCCAAAGGCCAGAATCATTGGGCGAAATGCGTCCATTGCGCTGAACTGATGTGGCTTCGATGAAAATCAGACCGGCACCCTTTGTGGCCAAATGACCTAGGTGCGCGATGTGAAAGTCCGTGAGCGCGCCTACAGCCGGAGAAGTGGGATCTGATTCGGTGGAGTAAGTGCACATAGGTGCCACGATCACGCGATTCTTGAGAGTGACATCTCGAATTCGTAAAGGGCGGAACAGCGTCGGGGTGTTGGGATCCTGTGGGTTTATAGCTGCTCCGGCATTGTTGGCGGGGGTAAAATAGGGCAGGCCCTCGGCCTGATGAATTGGCGGGGAACGAAACGAAGTAGATCCCATTATTTAATGTCTACAGATTGACGATTGATTCATTCAGAGACTTAGAGACGCAGAAATGCCCATTTATATATCCTTCGAGTAATCCACCGGCTGACAAATTGACGTATCTCGAGTCTCCCCACTGGTCGGAGACAATGCCGAACGCAGACCTCGGGAATTCCACCCTTCGCAAGGCTTAACTGATGACAGTTAATAGGTATATACTACGCATATAGGTAGTACCTCAAATGTATAAGATAATTTTGGGTCAGGTTGGTTACACCCCAGGGCGATTACTAGTCGAGGGCCCGCGGACACGGGAAGTCTCGGCTTGACCCATACCTATGAAGCTATGGATGTAGTTGGATTTCCCTCAGCAATAGTTGGCAGGCTTAATGACCTCCGACACCAGCAATGTATCTCAGATACCCATATCATACTTGTCATTGTGGGCCGGAAGGTCACGATGTGAACCATAAGGCAACGGAGACTGGCATGTGCACTAAGTTGAGACATTATAACATAAAATGACCAACGCAAGAAGCATAGTTCTGATTGTAGCTACCCCAGGTCTCTTAATCTACTGGTAAATTTTCACCATGCGAGACATGAACGTATATAAGAACTTCAATAAGGACCTTGCCAACCACCGTTTCCATCTTGACACCCTTTGCAAGGACCTGGAATCCTAGCATACCCTGGTCGAAAGTAATTGACATGTTTCCGCCATTCTTTGGAATGAGGAGTAATAATTTTCTTCAATGGATGAATACAACCGGAAAATTCCCCGAGACTCTGAGCCGTAAAACATCTGTTGAGGTCGAGAATCCAAAAATGGCCACAGCCATAGGGACCTGTATGATCAAGGACTTCTAATAGGCACGTCTTCATTCATAAAACCAACAAGTGATTGTCTCCAAAGACAAGTTGCGACATGGAGTGATGGGATGTCTAAGATCCATATATAGATCAACAAAGCCACCCGAAACAACAGATAACCACTAAGAGTGAAAAAGAGATATATTGGAAAAAATAAGAAAACAGAGCGGAATAAATATTGGCTTCTTTTTGTCTTTTCCATTTCTCAATCTCATACGGTACTGATGAATGTAGAATACCGCAATGCGCTCATAATGAGATAAGCCACCTAGGTACCCCGAATAAATATACCTACATATGTAGGCATTGCTGGCCATGTACATCTTCTATCCCTTCACAAAGGAAAATAAAATGGCTGAAAGTCTTTCTTACCCCGAACATCATGTTGGGCGTAGCTTCCTCGAGGATCTGCCTCAACCAATTAAGAGGTATCGATATCAAGGGAAGGAGCACTTCCTTCGCACTAGATATCTTGAGCTTGATCGTTTCGAGTGTTCAAAACATGACACATCAGAGTACATCCTATTTGATATCGACGCTGATACCCTCAAAAAGGATTTCCTCGATCCTGGCATCGAGGATAATTCCTTTACTTTCGACTCTTTCGATACAGAGGAAAATCTCCTTTTGATCAAGATGGAAACCAGGGAGCATGGGCAAGCGATCCAGGAGTTTGGTTATACAATTATGCGCCAGCTAGATGATATGGGGCTTCGAACGACGGTGGAGAAGTTCACAACAACAATCCAAGCCCCAGCTGGCACAGGCAAAAGACCCGACAATGGATGGGGCCCAACGAGGCAACGTGGTGATGACCGCCATAGGCCGACTGTTGATCTTGAAGTTGGGGTGTCGGAATCGCAGGCAAAACTTGAGCGCGACGCAACCTTTCTGTTGGATCCACAGAGGGGCAACGCCAATATAGCCTTAACCATCAAGTTAAATCGAACAAGAGCCCAGATGACCCTTGACAAGTACGAATGGGACGCCCCCAACGGACGCATCAACAGGCTCCAGCGGATCCAAATTGCCGAGGATCCTAGCGGAGAGGAGGTGACCGTTAATAACGCGCCGTTGATCATCCCATTCGAACAACTGATGGAACGACCCAGATCTTCCCCCGCCGAGAAAGGCATCACAGTCGGCGTGGAAGACCTGAAGGCAATCGCGGACAGTATATGGCGTGTCCAACATTCGTAAGGGAACATCCCTGCACCTCCCTTGCTACCTTTGCTTCACTTCCCAAAGCCATACCACCATGGTTACAACAGTCTTTCCAATGGCCGCATTCTCTGTCCCGGTTTATGGGGTAGTTTTGTCTCTACGCTGGTAGTCGAGGATGACCATACCGCGCACGTCGGCTGGGACAATGACGAACCGGTTCTTCGGGTTCAAGCGACAGGAGTAATAGTGGATTTGAAGAATCGAATGGTCCTCCCTGGGTTTGTTGATGGCCATGTGCACATCCTCAATTTCGGTATGTCCCTGCAGAAACACGACCTTCTGTCTTGTAAGGACCTTGCAGATATCCGAAATTCCATCACTGCCTATGCAGAAACCCACCCATCGGATCCACGCATTCTGTGCCGAGGCTCGGTCCCGTCGGTTACGGATGGCAACGCTCTTGCAACAGTCTTAGACGACCTAGATCCGCGACCTATCTACATCGAGTCATTGGACCTCCACTCAACGTGGTGCAACAACGCAGCCCTCAAGGAGCTAGAGGCTGACTGCTGACTCGAAACCCGATCCTCCTGGAGGAAACATTCATCGCTACCACAATGGCATCCCGTCTGGTTTACTTGAAGAGGCAGCGCAGTTTGATATCGTCTGGCCATTTTTGGACCGAGTCACGTCGATGGAGAAGAAGGTGGCCGCGATTGATGCTGAATCCGTGTGCATCAACGCGCTGGGTATACTGGACTCGTTCACATGGCCATGGGAGAGAGTAATGGGCAGCGTTGAATATCTACAGAAACCAACGTGGTGAGCTTCCGATGCATGTTGCGGCACACTGGTTAGTGCCCTACTCAATATGCGGTGCCGATAGCTGCGTTCATATTGATCGCGCCATCGAGATTCAACAAACTTTCAACCGCAAACCTCCCCGGAGTTTTGTATCAATAGCATAAAGTTACTCTGTGACGGTACAGTGGATGGATGTACAGCGGGACTACACCAACCATATGGCGGACTTTCCAACCTCGTCGATCACATCTGACCGGCTGATGCCCTTGCAGCAGCTATTTACCGTGCCACTGATGTCGACCTGGAGTGCGCCATTCATGCAATTTGGGATAGAACAGTTCAGCAGACTATTGACTGTTTATCCCGAATTCAGGACCTGCCATCCTGTCATCACCGCATTGAACATTAGAGATAACAACCCCCGAAGACGCGAAAAGGCTTGCCAACTCGGAATCGTGGCCTCAGTCCAGCCTGTTCACCTAGACCCAGTAACCTTTGACGGGTGGCCAGAGATTCTTGGGATTCAGCGTTGCAAGCGGGTTTTTGCTTACCAAGAGTTTCTCGATGCTGATGCTCATTTGGCCTTTGGCACCGATTCCCCCACTGCAGCGCATCAGGCACTGCCCAATCTTTATGTTGCTACTACTCGGCGGTCGGCTATCCATCCGCTCTTGCAAGATACCATCAATCCCGAATTCGCTGTTTCCCTCCGTGACCGCTGTCTCAGCAGCTACTTCGAGGGCTGCGTATGCATCCTTTTCAGACTCGTGGACAGGGAGTCTGCATCCCGGATTCAATGCCAATGTCGCTGTCCTGGATATGATCTTGGCCCCAGAATCTCTTTTGGAATCCCGTGTGTGCCAAACCTGGTACAAGGGAAAGAAGGTGTTTGATGAACAGACGGGTGGGCGGTGATTTCAGGGCTCTCCTTTCGAATAATTACTTCAGAACAGCACTGAGAAAACAATGAAACAGCTTCCATTCTGTGGTGATCCATCAGGTTGGTTTAGCATTTGACATATTCCTTTGGCGATCACGCCGGCAAGAACAGATTATACACCCAAACACCAGTAGGAGCAAAGCTCCACCAATCCCGGCAGCAAGTCCAATAACCAGCGGCAAATGGTCATCTATCCACGACAATGAGTCACGATCTGGTTGGCTAATTCCATTATTTTCTCGCCCTTGTCCAGTGCGTTGTCCAGTTTCCGACCTGCTGCACTCGTCTCCTCCCCTCCATTGACACGTCACAGAGTCGCAACATCTAGTATCCTGCTCGTCACAAGACCCATTCCCACAGTCACATGCCTCCCCAGCCTCGATAATACCATTGCCACACTGGCCGTCACGGCCAGTGTTATTTCCATTGCGAGAGTCCACCAAGCAGCGCGCGTCAACTCGGCCAGAACCCATCCGCGAGCAAACATTTCCGATAGTGCAGGGAGAGAAACGGGTCATGCCTGGCCCAGATACTGGGTTCATGATATATTGTTCGCCAGCATCACACGTGTTGGAAGACATTGGGCAACACTGAGATGACGATGACTCTGTTCCACATGACTGGGAGTTACAATCGTGGACGGCGCCGAATGTATGAGCTGACTCATGACTTTGTGTGTCCCGGGTCAGCTTTGTGTGTGAGGTAGGGGCGTGGAATTAATATGGGTGGATAACATACGCAAACACCTGCCATTCCGTCTGTGTTCGAGCCACCACATTTGCACTCGATGCGCCATACCTAGAGCCAGAATTGCATAGTGCCCCAATCCAGGAAACGCCAACCTGACCTGCACCCACCGAGCATCCAGTCAAAAGAGTCCAATATGCATTGTTGTCATTTATCGAACTTCTCCACGAAGAGAAGGTTTGAAGGCGCGTGTTCAAATCTCCCACCGAACACGGGGCATTCCAGTCTGTCGAAGCCGAGACGCTAGTCGGGCACTCGGCATTGCTCATAGTCAAATTCTGAATACTGAGTGAGATATTGAAACTATTCTCAAAGACAACGGAGGCTGTATTGACCATATTCAGAATGTATCGGTGGGCAGAGTCCGAAGAATTGAAGCTTGCGGTGTAAGTACAATCAGTCGCAATACCGATGTGCGCAATTTGCCTCGTTTGCGGACATCCATATGTATTGCCGATGTTATCTGCTAGGTTGTCGCCCCATGCATTCCATTCAAGCTGTCGCTTGTTCAGAACGTCTTCCGGTGCGGTTGCACAGATTGAGTCCGATGACATTCGATTTCCGGTTGGGAAATCTGACTCACGTTTGCGGGCTATCATTTTCGTGGGCCCATCCTCCTGTGCCTCCAGCTGAATCTCATACTGCGAGGACAAAATCGTGAATGTACCGTCGAATGAAAGAGCCTCTTTCTCCTGATTTACAGCAAGCCTGGCCCATCCAACATTTTTCCATCCTCCGCCAGGTGCTTCTTGTGTCCATACTGAACCCTTGGTCAAATAGAGCCCAGAGCTGATGGTTCCCTCGCCTGCACTTCGTCCATAGACATCTAAATTGTGGACATAGGCGTGTTGGGATATGAGGTCGTCGTTGGTTTCGAGGACGAATCTTAATGGAAGGTCAGATCTGTCAATATCTGTGGTGATATTGAAGGTAGATGGCCCGGGGCCGCCATCTAGTCGAGGTAGAACGGAACAATTAACGAGGCGAAATATGCTTGCTTCAACTGAGCGAAACAGTTACTGTACTATTCACATAGCAATGTTCAAACCCTTGTTCCATACTCACATGGTATAGCTGACGCTTGCATTCGCGATATGATTGACACAGTGACGATGAACAGGGTTGATTTCTTCATTCCAGGCGGTATAACTTCTCTTCACGTGTTGGCGGTTACTGTAAGATATGCAAGCGCGTTACTGCAGTCCTTTATACCGAATTATTCTACATATGTAAAACCTCTGGTCCGGCTCATTGTCTCGTTGCAGCCAAATTATGAGCAATACCAAAAATAGGCCGCTGACATACGACCATCCATGGATGATCGAGCACAGTAATTGTCAGCGACAATGGCTAAGCCCCCGGAGATAAGACCATGCCAAGTAGATGCATACGAGTACACTGGAATAAAAGCGCCGACATAGGAACAGGACAATGGAACGGATCCACGAGTATCGGATACTTGCCTGGGCTTTGCTACTGGTATCATCAACAAGATTCTCCGGTGAAAAAGTATTAAGTTGGTTTTGACTTGATGGTGATGGAAGTCCCCCCACCGTGGGTCTCTTGGCCTGTCAGCAACTTGCATCGACACCGATCTCTAAATGCTGCTGCCTTGAGGTTCGACTCTACTTATGTAGAGTGTTAAATGCCAAGATACGGTGGGTAGTTCAAACAGCACTCGCGGGGCTGTGCTACAGGGAAAATAATTCCAGAAGGCTTGGCCTTCTATAAGGAAAATCATGTCCCAAGCCACGCAGTCGAGCTACCTTCAAATCCCAGCTTTCCTACGACCTTGTATTGGTCCTGAAAGACTTCTTCTATTAGAGTAGGATATTACCGTGAGGCAATATAATCTGGGAGGGTCTCTCCTTCAATCCTCTCAGCGTTTATCCGAGCACAATTTGGATAAAATCAAGGGCCACGCCCGTCCAAGCTGAGACAAAGACCGGAGAAGCGATGGAAGCATAGAGTTGGCAATTGCCGAAAGATTAACTTTCAGTACTGAGTTGCCATGCTAGCTCTAGCCAGTCTAAATGGACAAGTCCCGAAAATTAGTTTGGAGTATGTATATTGGCGTAATACAATTAGTATTCAGGACACGGCACTTTACATGGACAATAGCATGAGAAATATATCAACCTAGCTTTGAAGTCATATCCTAATATCGTAAGGGCTGGACTACCTAGGTAGAGATAGCGACCGGACTTTCTGATCAGCTATCTCTGGTTTCTATCTAGCATCAAAGGGCCACATCTTCTCCGCCTTTGCTACTGTCATGTCTTCGCCACGAGACTCGGCTTCCTTGGCAGTTTGTATCCATTCATCATACGCTGCGCGATGCGCAACCCTCGCAGTGTCCCATGCATCGTTCGGGACCCACCCGTCAGAATTTGTATCAATGTTGTTTGTTAGCCATGACTTGAGTGCTTGCACAGCCTCAAAATCTTCGTAGTCTCGAGCATGCTGCTTCAATTCCGCTTCTGTGGGGGAATATGGACATGAGCCCTCTAGCCCCAGTTCTGCCCAGCGAGCTGAAATCTCAATTAACTCTTGGTGGACAGCGGCAGCGGAGTCTCTCCATGTTGTGTGACAGTAGTGGAAGAGTCGAAAAAGAGTCGGATCAAGTAATCTTGCGGGACGTAGCTTAGGAATAAGGGCTGTCATGACCACATCATATGTTTGGTGGCAGATGGATGCGTCTTCTAATTCTCGTTCCATTTGTCCAGAAATCTCCGTTTCATTTTGTTCGTTCTCGGGTGGATCTTTCTCGGGGACCCCCGGTAATGCAGCGAAATCAGGTGTCTCGTTGGCACCAATAAACGCGGGCTCAACGCTGGTTGATTGCCAATCTATCAGGCCAGTAATAACGGTTGGTTCTTTGGCTGAGACGTAGATATTCCTCTTGTGAAAATCTGGGTGAAGCAGGGTTGGTGTAGCAGCGTCCTTAATGCGTTTATCTTCAATCAACTTTTGCATGACCTTTCGACTGGTTTTCAATAGACGGATGTGATCTTGAATTGATCCTTGATATGATAGAAGCTCGCGACTATTCATGACTTCTTTGGGCAAACGGGAGAAGCCGGTGTCTATCAAACCTCGACAATAACTTGTGAGATCTCTCCAAGGTCCGCAATTGGGACTTGGGCCACCGTAGAGTTCACGTTCCCCGGGATTTCGGTTCCAGAAGACCGGACTGCAATGTGGTCCCACGCAGAAGCCCTGCTCGAAGGGAATCTTTAAGTCCGAGTCTAGAGGCGCATCTGCGAAGTATAGACTGCCATAAGCAGGGAAGTCTAGGGAAGCCATCTTTTTCATTATCAATGAAAGCCCTTTGGTGCACAGCATGTGCTGTTCCGGGTTCATCTTGTGCCATTCTTGATGTAATTGAACACCGGCCACATGCTCCTGGATAATATATTCCGTTCCAGTTGGATTGGAAGGATTATCGTTCCAGTCGAGAATTTTCGGTATCGGAAGCGAGATCTTGGATTGTACTATGCGAGACATAAATCAGTGAGCGTCTCAGCCATATCCTTGAGGACAGGTATGCGGCGTAGCCTTACAATAAGTCATCGTGGCAACTTCAGAGTTGGTCGTTAACCTTGGCGGGCCAGCAATACCGGTAGGTACCCTTGCCATAACACAAGGTCCATTATCCATCGTTAAAAGAAAGACTCTGTTGAATCCACCTTCTCGCTTCTCGCATTTGATAACCCTGGTGGCTCCTGGACATGTGTGAACAGCCCGCTCACATAGCGCTGAGAAGTCAAACATAACGTGCCGAGAGTTTCGCTCGAGCTCGTCCCGATTGAGCCATCTTCCACCAGTGTACGAATGCGGATGATGTCCTACAATGCAAACTCAGTGACACGTTAAATCGTTGGTCAATGCTGGCAAGTGTATTCTACTAACGACGAGTCAGCTCTTGCGAATCTGTTCCTACTTGTCGAGCCAGGTTTGTGGTGAGGGTGCGTCGTTTTTATTTCCCATGTTGGATAATGTTCTAGACGGGCAACGAAATCGGCAATGCTGAATGGGTGACGAACGGACTCCCAACCGTCGCCAGAGTCGAAGCATATTAGATGGTTTCCTTTTTCCTTGTCAGCTGCAGGGAAATCCGAGATTGGAGGTCTGAAGTGCCCCTTGGCCCTTATGCGGCCGATTGTTTTGCCGTCTTGGCACCAAATGATCTGCATTGCCGACAAGATCGTCTAGATCGTCACAGCTGAGGTCCTTACATCGCTTCAACCTTCTTTTCTAAAGAAATGGACTCTACTACCTTATCAGACCGTGAACTGATAAGTCTTTGTTTGGAAACCGCGCCTGATCGAATTGTCGGGGGGAGGCAACAAGGGAATCTTGTCATCAAGATTTCGAATGATACCGTTATCAAATTTGGACTAGGAGTCACTGAAGATGAAGCTAATAATCAACGAAAAGCCTACGAACTCATTGATCATGATATCATCCGCGTCCCGCGTGTCCATCGTTTCTTCACCGACGAACTTGGGCGTGGCTATATCGTTATGGAATACGTTGAAGCCACGTGATGGACCCTCTCGATGATCCTCCTGGTATAGCCAAAGTAGCAAAGGTGCTCGATTATTTTAGCACATTCACTGCAAATCGCCCGGGAAGTCTTGGCGGTGGGCTATCTCGAGGGCTTCTCTGACCTGATAGCGAAGACTTGGGCTTTGACGACAAAGATCAGATGGAATCATGGTTCAATATTTCCAGGAGAGCGAAGGCTTTTGTTCCGTGATGGGGACCTAGCGCTTTGCCATTTGGATATTGCACGAAGGAATATAATTTGGCAACCAGATGGTAGAATTTGCCTGGTAGACTGGGCGTCTGCAGGATTTTATCCGAGGATGTTTGATTTTTTGGGCCCAATGGAATATCGAAGGGATGGAAGGGTCATTCAACTCTCAGCTCCTGCAGTAAATGAAGCCGCTTCCACCTCATGAAGGCGTTCAACATTCGCATATATGCGGGGTTTGTATAATACCAAAAAATACTATTTGTAAGTATCCTCCCCCGCGTTATTTGCTATTTTGTTAAACAATTGATAGTCCCAGATCAGCTGCGGATGGCTTGACACCCCAGGATCAGAAAAAGCCAGTCCCAGGCCCCCCGGTGCCGCCTTTCCCATTGCCAGATAGCAACTACGGCAATGTCAGGGATGTCAATATAGTCAACATTCACTCTAATCCGACAGTTGTTCTTCCGAAAACATGAGAATCCTCTCAGTTATTCATTATCTTCAAAGCTTCGTTCACCAACGCCCTTTTTCTTTTCCCTCACTGTGTTTATTGGCAGTGCAGCAATTTTTGCACCTTCGATTTGGCGTCGACTGGCAAATGGATCAGTCAATTTAGAGCAGTCTTTCAATGGTGCTCGTTGATGTTCCACCATTAGCCACCTTTAGAGCACAATTTGCAGCATGAAGCAATATCCATAGCTTAGGCTGTACATTCTATTTGTTACTATATTGTAGTTACCTCCTACTCTTTTCCTTTCATATCTTTCCCTTTAAGTCAGTTGTTCAAATAGTAGTAATACATTATATTACATGCACATAGTTCCATCTGTACTATTTCAACAAAGTGCCATTAACGGATGCTATGCAAGAGGCACCTCAGATGTTTCCAGCGAATCTAACGCCAATTAGTCATTGTGGTTTAAGTAATTATCTCGAACATCAATCCAAATCACATTATTTCATATCCAGCACATCAAAATAGAATCTTGCCTATCCAATTTCCTCTACAGCCTCGCTGCAGGTTCCAGTAAATGCTTCATCTCAGAGTTTGGGTACTCCACATTTTGGGAAGAGTCAGGTCGCTGTCTGTCCCATGCCCACCTTTCTATCAATTCGGGCGCCAATTCTCCGTCAAGCATCTGCGTGATGTACTTGCCAAGGACGGGGAAAAACTTGTATCCATGGAATGAACCACAAGTAGCGATGTATAGTCCTTTGGAAGCAGAGTGAGGCGAAATGATAAAGTCCGAGGTAGTGGTGAAAGCGTCCCTGTCGAGTGTCAGAAAATCATGGCGTATACGTAGTCAGGGGGCACTAACCAGCAAATGCGGTGTTTCGTCATCTCCCATGTGGCACTTTCGGGTCCATACCACAGATTCCTGGACTCTATGATATCCTGCTTGAGAGGTCCTGGAACCTTCCACTGGTTGTAGTCATGCGTGGGTGGAGGAGAAGAGATGTAATGCCCAGGGAATACCTCTCGAGTGTTTGTGAAAATCTTAGATCCCCACCACTTGAGCTCCCGGTCTTTAGTAGGAGGAATGCTGCCAATGAAGGGTTTTCCTGGGAATTATTAGTGGCATTCATGCGAACAAACTGGAAAGCGTACCTTCATCTGGTGTGTAACCCTGGAAGCCAACAGGCATATCTTTGAACTTTTCGTATTGCTCCTCGTTGAGTTGTGCCATTCCGGTCGTAATACCAGCTGCAACAATTCGCTCTCCAGCTCGTAGCCCAGGGTTGCCGCTCTTCACAGCACTCCACTCTAGCAATGTCGGTGTGAAAGCGCCGGCAGCGACGACAACATGCGACGCCGACAATGTCTCTCCAGCTCGTGTCTTCACACCGGTGCAAGACCCACGACCGTCGAACTCGAGGTTAGTAACGGATGCAGTGATGTACGAGACGCCCAATTCTAAGCACCGTTTGGTCACTGCTCGAAGAGCATCTCCGGCGGCAGCCCAGCCACTAGCCCTGTTCACGAGAACCTCCTTGACACCGGTGTAGTCAGCATTATTAAAGACTCCTCCATAAAGCTTTCTAGCTTCAGCAACAGGAAGAGCAATGATGTCATCATGGCGACCAAGTTCCTTGTGATTTGTGATAACATTTTGGGCGTAGTCGCTGCGGCACGTCCAGTAAACGCCAGTCTGGTGAAAGTGTGGCTGCCAAAGAGGGTCGGTTTTGAAAATTTCTTGAGCCTCAAGAGCAAGTCTGCAGTAGATCTTGTCGTCGTAGTCGGCGCGAATAACCTTGTTCCAATCCCATGATGCAGCCACACGTGACTCGGCATCATATGCATCTCGATCGACCAGAGTTACCGATGCATTGGGATACTTCTGGATGAGGTGGTAGGCGGTTGATACACCAAAGACACCCGCGCCAATAATAAGGTATGAGGGGTTGCTTGAGGTCATTTCGCAAATGACCTTATGAAACTTCTTTCCGGATGGTGATATTAGCCAACGAGACGGCTGCGAAAATTCAATGACAATTGACAAATGTGCTATTGAAATTGTATATGCGTATCCCAATGCTATTTATTTATCAATCGAGAGTCATCTTCCACTGGACGGTCCGTCTGTATCGGGCGGGGTTTCCGACCGAGCCGATCACATGGGCTCTATTGCCTGAATTTAGACACTTCGACTTAAGAAATGCGGCAAAATAGCCCGATCATGCCAACCTTGGCAGTAATTATTCAGATAAGGTCGGCCAATAAGAGAGGATGTAGTGTTTCTATGTCGGTTCACGGTCCGTCCACGGTCCGTATCTGGTCTTCCACGAGGCGGATGCGAACTTCTACTTTTCCATTATCAAGTGTAAATTTGAGACTGTTGCTCACCAAATTGATAAGTACCTGGAGGATTTGATGCTGATCGCCTCAAAGGACCATGTCATGTCGATCAGTCTGCCCGGCTGTGTTGAACTAGAACCTGGATGCGTCTGCCCCAATCCGTGTTCGTGGCATATAGTGCCTTTTGGCTCGGTCACTGAGAAACAAAGTTGACGCTGAAGTCAATCTTCTTCTCCCGAACTTGATTTTCGAAGATGATAGCCAGTTGCGATCGAACATCAGACAACTTAAACTCTTTTTCCTTGATCTGGACAGCCCGTGTGAGCGAATTGTCCAAAAGGTGCAAAAGAAGGGATCCTCCTCACCCATACACGCGGCACACATGCCGAGTATTCCGTTGAGGGAAGCTTTGAGTTCATGAGATATGTTCGCGATAAACAATGTCTTGCTCTCGTTGGCGGTGACGGCGGCCAATTTCCCTTTTCAAGCTCTCTTGTACGCTCAGCCGCGCGCTCTTTTCGCCGATTATACCGAATTGTGAGCTCGTCCGACATCTATTTATAAGTTTTAGTTAAATCCGTGAGCTCATCCGTGACACAATGTCTTCTTTCTTTGACCCTGGCTGGTATCTGAAAGCCCTGGGGGCTTTTTGGATTGCCGACGCTTGTGAACTGTTGATTCGCCCCAAGGGACGTCGCAGGTGTTTCGGCCACATAGCAGGGGAGCCGTTCTCATTCATATGTTCCACAGCTCCCTCAAACGTATTTCCCTGTCGATCGTCGTCGGCTTCAGATTCGGTTTGTCGTGGCTCCGGGACAGGATGATGTGGTCTAATCTCGGGCTCGTCGGATTTCCGGGCTGCTGCGCGCAGTCTTCGAATAGGAGCAACAGACCAGTGGGCCAGAAGAGGGACCAGGAGCATGGCAGTACCCGCTGTTCCAAAGACGCAACCAAGAATAATTTTCGATAAGCGGACAACTGGCGCAAATGCTTCCGAGTTATGTCTTCTACGAAGAGAATCCATTGGACGAGACTGATTTGAAGGACGGACTGCGCCCACGGCAATATTGGCCCCTCCCTCGTTTCGAGTTGACAGGCGACTGATGGCTTCGTTCACGTTCAGGTATGGTTGCAGCATGACTTGTATGGCTATCGGATACGTGGAAAGGACAAACGGAATATCGGTCGACATGCCACCGTGCCGGCTAGCCTGGCTGGATTTGGGATTGCGTATGAGGGACCACGTACTCGAGGTCCACTACAAAGTTGTAGGTGGTAGACCACTAAAACATGTAGTCAGATTCGGTTATCATTCGGGCGATTCCAACTCTACCGTTGCGATGGCTAGCACTGCGACCCCTGAGACCGAAGTCAGCAATACAAGCAGCGCAAGCTGCACAGCAATAGGAATGCTCATCCGATCACATAAGATCAAGGGGTAAAGTTGATGAGTTTGTCCGATGGCTACAGTCAAAGGACACATCAAGCGTAGAAAAGTCCAGATGCCTCTTCACAGTAAACGTCCGTGCCAAGACCCTGTTTTTCACACCTATATGAGTTCTTCAGGTATTCGCAGTTGTGTTTGTTCTTTTTTGGTTCATTTATGTTGTAAGGAGAGAACCGGAGGAATAAAGCGAAATGTGAGGGTAAATATACGTAGGGAAACAGTCGAGATGGGGGATGGATATATGTATGTACTTAGCAACTGACACCCAACTTATCCCCTTCCACACTATGCTAAGTTAGTATATTTTCTCATTTAAATACTTGTTGAAAATTGCCGGCAAATCCCAACGCCATTGGACGCATGTCGTTGCCGGACATTGGATTTCTCGACCTTCTGGCCATCTTTTCTTCTCATCTTGCTGAATTGGATACAAAATGTCTAATATCTGGTATATTTCTACGGATTTTGGTCAGAGTAGGTACCCTTGAGAGTATCTTGATTAAAGTCAGATAGTCTTGGTTAAGTGGCTCCAAGTAGACCTGAATGGCGCACTTCATGCCTTTAATAATCTCTAATGATCAAAGTAGCAGCGGTCAATGTTCAAGTCTCTTATCAATGAGCTCGATAGACACAAAATGTCACACTTAAGCTATGTAAGAAGTGACAGAAGAGCAAAGAGAGAAGAAGGATTGATTCTCTACAAACAAACGCTAAATAGCGAGGTGGAAGCCTGAACAAAGCAGGCATCAAGACATCGCGGCAGATCTGTCTCAACAAGAAGTATACACATATAACAAATTCACTAAATGATGCTCCATAGTAACATCTACTGGGACTGGGTGTAGAGGCAGCCATTGGGGTTCGATGTCTCCTGGACACGAGCGGCAATGCCCACACAGTCGGTGTTGCCGCCAGGGTTGGCAACGCCAGCGGAGGCCCAGATGCTCCAGGCACTGTCAATGCTGCTGGGGCAGGCAATCAGATCGTTTCCTCCAAACTGGAGGTGGCCACCCTTCACGGTCCAGCCCTCGCGCTCGGAGTTCTTGGGGGTGGGCTGAGCACCAGTGGTGTATCCAATCTTGCCCTGGCCTGTGTATCAAAGTTAGCTATTTGCCAACCTGGGATTGTGAGAGTGATAGCATACCCATGCCGGAGCGGTCGACATAGATCTCCTGGGGAGTGGCGGACTGATCATACAGGTACAGAGCGCCGTTGTCGATGTAGAAGGTCGCCTGCTGCTCCTCCGGACGAGCGCAACTGGCACCCTGGTTAGGCAGACCAGCGAAGATGCTGCTCTGAGCAGCGTTGAAGGCAGAGTTATGCACACCGCTACCAGAGTGAATAGCGATGACACCAAAGGTCTTAGACTGGGAAGGAGCGGCCGAGGCAACGGCGCTGACAGAAGCAGCGATGGCGAGGTTCTTGAGCTGCATGTTCGCGGAGGGGGATGAGAAGATTGGGTTGAGAAAGTATAAGAAGGGCTGAATTGAGAGGATTGGTAGTCGATGTTGCTAGAGACATGCTGAAATGCTTCCCCTTTTATACCTTGGAGCGCCACCCTCGCCGAGGTTGATGTCTCACCTATCAGGGCTATTCACAGAGCCAGGCATCCGTCTACATCAGACTACAGCATCGATATTGCCCAAACTGACATCAGTCCGTGACCGTTTTATGGGGCAAGCATGTCGATCTCTCTCGCGGTCCTGTCAAGACTGTCTTATCCCTGAGTTCTTAACGGGGATACTCCCGAGGTCCATTTACGAGATATTATAAGCACTTTAATAAATGAGTTATTCGTATTTAAATCATGAACATTTTCAAGTCCTGTTGAATTTGAAGGAAAATACTCTTACCCCTAAATGACTTCAATATCAGTATCCCATTGCTCCCCCATATTTGTTCCATGCATGTTTCTCCGAATTATACCCACATGTGCACGGTATCCGAATCAAGGCCAATCGGGGTCTAATGTCTTTATGCGTCGGAGAGACATACAGTATAGGTATACTATATAAACCGGTTTTCTGCCTGTTTTCGGTCATTTCACTTATTATGGGTCCCTCAACAAGTATCTATAAATAGCACTGGAGGGGCTCACCGTTCTACGAAATCTTCGACTTCAACTTCAGGGGAGTAGTACACTTCAAATATTATACGATTCGTCAATCTTAGAATCTCATGGCTTATCGGTATTGAATGAGATGAACACTATAATACATATACATATTTCGCTTCTTGCTCCATGACTCTACGAATCATGAAGATGCAATGCCTAAAAATGAATTTCCTATCTCGAACCAAACCAGGATTGAGGGAATTTCTGTACAAGTACCAGCTTGAGCACGCTCATAACCCATGTTGAGATATGCTAATAACAAGAAAGCAATTGTCCTTACTCGGGAGCAGCGCACGAGAAGACACCGCCAACTTCTCCTTTGTCGTACTTGATGATCTAGTTGAGAAAGTTAGTAAGCCAATTCTTGCTCCAGGGCTCCAAGATAAGACAATCATGGAAATACTTACAATGTCATCAACGCTGGAATAGGTTCCCGCAACAAGCACCACCATACCGATCAGGAAAATCACCGAGTTGACGACTGCCAGCATCAAGTTCTTGGGCTCTTTCCAACTGCCTTCCCGAAGGAGCATGAACCACATCATCGCAGGGAAGTAGAACGTGAAACCGGAGATGAAAAGAGCAGAAGAAATTGAAAGCAAGTCGTTGAAAAAGGGAATCACCTCGGCAATGATGAATGCCACAATTGTGGCGGCCGTGATCACCGCCAGCCATGTCAGCCATCCCATCTTGGTGTTGATGAAGCGGATGGGGGAGTTGGCGAAGATGCGACCATGAACCAGGCGCCCAAATACAACGGTATTGATCGAACCACTGATGAAGATCACCGGAAGAGCAACGCCGTATGCAACGCGGCTGAGGGTAGTTCCGGCAGAGGTGAGTGCAGGGCTGGACACGTCCTGGCCAACAAAGGCGTAGATCGTAGCACCAGTCACCGTGTAGATAACGATTTCGGTGATACCTAGCGTCCAGATGGATTTAACAAAGTCCCGAGGAGTGTGCATTTCATCCATAAAGGAGAACTGGCACATGGCAAAACTGTAAGCGAAAATGATGTTCGTCACAGCGATGAAGGCTTCGGTAAAGGTGATGTGATCCTTTGGCCACGCAGACCATGCGACTCCGGAGAGTCCACCGGGTGAATTGGTCGCCTCCACGCCAGTACCGACAATGGTAATTCCAATGGCAAGGATGATGGATGCAAAATCGACGTAGCCCAGAATGGCCACTTCGGTGAAACTGGGCGGAATGGCGAGCAGCAGTAAGATGATGGCGGAAACCACGGCAAAAATGATCGAGCAAATGCCGCTTTTACTGATATCGAGGAATGCGATAGTTCCCGTCAGACAGTGTGAGGCCGTGAGGAAGATTAGTTGAAGACCGAGCATGCCATTGACTAGCTCGTATGCAAAGCGACCACACCCTAACCGATGGCCCAGCAACCGACCTGCGTCGGCATAATTGGCAACCTCAGGGAAAGCCAATTTGACCATTCCGACAATGTAACTGGTATAGATGGCGATGAGACCGATGCCCACACAGCAGAGTACACCGGGAACCATGCCTAGTGTTGCAAAGGTGGAGGGAATCGACAAACTGCCGAGTGCAATGGCTTCGACGATGAGGACGATGGTGAGTCGCTTCCAGCCAAGACGGCTGAACTTCTTGATACCGTGGTCATAGATGTTCCTCTCGGCCTCGCTCATTTCCCCGACAATGTCTCCCTCAAACGGCGGTGGGGGAGCATATGCGGCCTTCTCGCCTTCCGTTCCCATCACCTTGTCGGTATCATGGTTGTTAGAGATATTTTCGATGCCCATGATGATGGTTGGGAGTGAGGGTAGTCTGCCGGACAGAACGGAAGGGACGAAACCGGGTATATAAGAAGGCAGATTTCGCACACTTCGAATGCGGGCACTATCAGTAAGCAACCTTGGAAAGCAGGATTTCCGTGACTAACAGAATTTCGTGACATCTGCTTGGTTGCTCCAACACGTGGAGTACGACGCTGGTCCACTCAAGTTGATCGGCCACCCAACGAGCTGACCGGAAACAGGGATTTGACCCATTGTGAAGGTGGAGTGGATTACGGTGGGAATTTTAAGCGAAATGGAGCCCGACGCCCCATTTTGGTGTCCGCTGTGCGATAAGAAGGTTCGGAAGGTTAGGTAAAAGAAATGCAACATTGGTGTAATGCGTAGTCGGAGGGCCACCTGAGGGCCACTCGAGGGCCACTTAGGGGCCGAGAGTGCTTTAACAATGTCACACTATGGAGTCTCTCCCCGCGTTACTCATTGCGGGGAAATAAATCAGCAAAAAAGAACACCTTGAAAACAAGAATATATAGATTGAAGGTTTTGTTCTTTAATCGCGCCACAGAAGATCCCGAAAGCCGACTTGCCAATGAAAGACTCGGAAGTGCTGGCTGAGCGCCGACAAGCCCGTCTGGGCGGCCGATAAGATTTTTTCAGTCTGGTCACGTGAAAGCTGCAAACAGAGCAAAATAAGGGGTCGATCTCGTATCAAACCTTCCAAAGTTGTTCTACCGCGTAACTCCGCACTACACCACTTGCAGAATATATGGAGTACAAGGTTTGGACACCTCCGGATAATCTCGTATATTGCCGCAAAACAACCCCAGCCCCCAAACCAAACCGAGATCTTCTTGGGGTATCTCCTAAACCTGGAGATGCGGAGCATCACCAACGCCATTCGGTTTAGCGGCCGTGGGAAAATAGCGCAAATATTGACTTCATTATTCGCCGTCCTGGCCGAAATCGATAGGACGGTGTCTCGCCCAGAGACGGGTGGTCATGGACATCATTGTGGGAAGTCCCCCAGTCTCCAACTCGTCCGTCGGATCCGGGGCCTTGTACTCCATACGTAATAAACTTAATTTCCCCAACCTTCGCATCTACAACGTTGGGCTTCGTCTTCCGTATTATGTGCCTACCCCGTGGTCATTGCTTGTATCCGAGCTAACTTCCCCAGACTAATTTCCCGCTAATAGAGACGTCCGCTAGAAAGACACCCGGAATACACGGAAGCTGCGGGTCGTCTCGGCCATGCACCACCTCCTGAAACACGGCACGCGCCATGCGCGATTTATTGTCGGGAATCTCCTCATACCCAGTATGTGCTGGATTTCCACTTAAGATCCTCGTCATATGGCGTACGAGTTCTCTCGACCGTGGCGACCTTCGTTCAGTTGCTTCATCCCCCGCAGCCATGTCAATGACCACCAGGCACTCCGTAGACGGTACAGAAACCCCGACCGCGGTATTCGAGCAATGTACTGTCCAGATCGAAGTGGAATGACTTCCTCAAGCGCCTTTTCTTACCTCCAACAGCGGCCGTGCGCTGGCCGATCATACATAGTTAGCAAGATACAGACGTGTTCGTCATCCTTGTCGCAATTGTCGCCAGCGCATGGAATAGCCGAGCATGCCCTGCGCTGAATTTCCGCACTCAATCCTCGATGATGCCTCTCTTGTTATTTGCAGTACTTGCCTAGCAATCAATTATTGCAAAATCCAGCCTACTCTCTTATATCGGTAATGACCCTGAGGATCACCCTTGCGTGCCGGGTTCAACAGGCGGGTGCGGAATTGAGCCGCGATTGATCCCACAGGTGAGATTAATGTCTATAAAGAGTGGTCCAAAGTTCTTCTGACTCCCATTTCAAATTACTCTTTTGGTTTCCACGCCCCATGGTGCGGTTCGGCTTTCCTTCAAATGGTAGAGCCCCCCTGGGAATCGGCTGGATGATGACCCCTCATTTTTGGAAGACGATACGACAGGCTTCGGCTTGACGACGGGTATGGATGGCTTTATCTCTTTGCTTTGTTCAATCGGCTGAAAGCTCAATTGAGTATGCCATCAGCCCACCGATAATAACGCTAATCCACGCAATACTGCCGTGTCGTAACACCAGGGACGACCCATCATATCCAGGGCGAAGGAGGCTCCACCGGGGTGACGGTTGCCTCTTGAATTGCAGAGCTCCTGATTCATGACACCCTGGTAGGGTCCATATAAACATATGTCATCAACTGGGCAACTAAAGATTCCAGAATAAACATCTACTGTCTCCTGTTTCTTTATTCTATGCATACGCATAACTCATCGTTCCTGCTTCCCCTGCTTTCATTCTGCAATGATGCCTCCGGTCAATTGACTTAATACCAAAACCTCACTGCCACATCAGTTCCTTAGCGGGTCTCGACTAGCATTCTTGCTTCAAGCAGTCGGTAATTGATTTTCCAACGTAATCCACGTTTTGTTTGTTGAGGCCAGCAATTGATATGCGAGAGTTGTCTGCCATGTAGATGTGGTATTGTTCTGAGGTCGCCCTGT